TGCTACTACTACGACGACGACGACTCTCTCCTCCTCCTCCCGCTCGTCCTCCTGCTCCTCCTCCTGCAACTGCTAGTCTCTCTGCTACCCCCACCACCACCACCACCACTGCAACTACTACTACCACGGCTACCACTGCTATTGCTTGACTTTTGCGTATTACTAATTCGTGGCGGTTGTAGTTGACGGGGAGCGGAGTGGCAGTGGACGCGGCAGCGCTGCATTTCGATTTTTGGTGCTTTTGTGACTGTTAAAATGATCCGACACTGCGACAGATTGCTATGTACCGTTGTCCGAAATACCAACAGTATTACTTGACAAATGAGCTGACACAGAGCGGAGTCCTCGTCGTGCTCTATGGCGCACATCACAAGCCTCTGTTGGCACAAGCTTTCAGGCCGCCCCCTTGCCGAGGGAGAATCGCTGCTAGATTTGTGATCTCCAATCCCTCCTATATCACAAATCCCCTGACTGCAAACAAATCGTAAACAATATCGAAAATGTGCGAAAATCCATCCCACATGCATCATGGAGATCTCTCGCCCCGCCGTTGCATCCAAAGGGTCTAGCCGCGCCAGGCAACGCATGAGGCTCAGCCCCTCAGGCCCGTCATGAAACAGTGAGCCGCCCCTCAAGCAGCAGTCCTTGCCGACATATCAGGCGCACACCTCTGCCTTCATTTTCGCAGGTTAGCGGCTGTATTTTGCGGGACCTGCTTGACCAGGCGCATTTCCGGCGCGTGTTTTACACTTCGCGTTGGTCTGCATGATTTTTACACTTCGCATTTCTTGGCTTCTGTTTGCATGGTTTTGTTTGCGTTTTCCTGATGGACCCCAACTTTGCTGCCCCTGGCCCTGGGCCCGTGGCCCCGGCGAAATCCATCGCGATGCACCCAGCTGTTTTAACTGGGTTGGTGCTTCTAATTTAAGGCTAGATTGAGTGTGGGAGCTGGCCGAGAAGAACCAGAAGGTACGCGATCATGACGGTCCTTACCTTGGATGCATAGAGTGTTCTGAGGAAAGCAGGCCCCCTGGCCAACTGACTTCCGTCCCGGCTGCAAAGGAAAGCGCTTTCCACAAGGCCATCTTCCATGGGAGTAGCCTTGCGAGGATTCCGATAAAATGGCCGGCTGTGCTAATCAGCACATTTTGCTCCCCCCGATTGGCATCCCCGTGTTGGCTCGAGGGGCGTCTGGCGAAAGTATCTCCATCGCAGTCCTCGGAGCAAAGCCGCGGCACTTGACAACGATGATGACTTGACCCTGATTGCTGGGCTTTACTGCCGAGCATCTGTTCAGCGACTCACTGGGCTCCGTGGCTTGTTCCTCCTAGCGCGCTGGCGACTTCAGGAACTATGGCCTGCACAAAAAACGAAGACAATCCTGGTCCATTCTGCCCCATGGCCACTGGCTACGGAGACTACGACCGCAAACAGGCGAGAACACCCAGAAGCATTTTGAAGCCTGATCTGAGGGTTGCCTGCCCGCGTCCCGGATTGGATCCTTCTCTTTGCTGTGTGCTGGCTCACGTCGAGCCAGGTCATGTCGCTTGGTGCTGCTAGTCCCTAGCCCTAGCCGCAAGGATTGCATCTTGATGAGGTGGCCTAGTGAATTGAAACATCGTGCTGCAAGCTGAAAGGCCAAGATGTGCACAGTGCGCGTCGCGGCTGTCGATGGTTCCGGCCAGCGGAAGCATTCGGTGCAGTCACTGGGATGTGTACAGTGTACAGCAATGAAGCCTCAGTCCCTGATCTCCATTTTCTTCAAGGCGTGCCCTCGGATCCGATTTGCTTCACACCTTCAGGACCGATCCCCGTAGAGCAGCCAAAGGTCTGTGCGGCGATGCCTGAGACCTCCACGCCTGTCCGGGAGGAGGAATCGGATTCACCGAAAACCTGTGACTGCTGCGGCTCCTGAGAATGAGGGGCCGACCAATACTTCGGCAGCCAGTCCGTGCGAAAGAATCGGTCGCAGCGCCACATGACCAAGCGATTCCTTAGCTGGTGACGAAGCTAAGCCTCTGCCGGCGAGCAACCATTTTGAGTAGACCCCCTGTTTTGGAGTGCACCGGCGAAATGAAAATTCAGGCAGCGTCGACTTGTAGGGTATCCGAGCAGAGGCATACTGCGTCTCTGAGATCAGCTTCTGCTTTGGCAGATCTTCCTGCAAGCATTCCCAGAATAGTTTATCCTTGTTTCATGTCCCCTGACCCTCAGGCACGCCCAAAAATACAATACTTTGGAAGAGCCCTCCTCGAGATGCGGGGTCCAGCTATAGCGCTCACTGGGAGGCATGCCTTAGATGCGAGGAGTCAAAGCAATGAATGTCGTCTTGAGGCAAGGCTGCAGAAAGCAAAATTTACCGTCGCCGTCAAAAATAGACAACCTGGCCCTGTATGGCCCCTCTTCGAAAACGCGTCGCTTTGAGAAATCCCAAGGCAACAAAGCCGGCCTTCTTGAGCAGCAGCTCGGAACACCTCGAAGCCGCCTCCTGCAGGCACTGGCTCTGGCCCTCCCATGACCGCGGCTTACCGAGGCTTCGCTTCCGTTGCTCGCACCTCGCCTTTTTTATGGAGGTTCGCAGCATCTGGGGTCGTCCACAATGCGACCTTGTGGCAGCAGTGGTCCTACTGCGCCTCGCGGCAAAAGTGGCAGCTGAAGTGCTGAAGTAAAACTTGTCCACGTGAAAGCTCGGCCATCCTTCTAAACTGCGGGCGAGGCCAACCCAGTTTCACACCTTACCTCAGGTGCGCACAGCCACTGAGCACGGCCTCGGCTGGTTGCACCATGAAAGAGTACTACACGATACCACGCCCCTCAACATCACCGTGATCACACCAGCAGATCGTCGGGGGCTGCTGCACGATGCAACATGGTCAGGACCACTCAACCAAACACACGACGCTGCTGCATCTCACTGTCGCCAAGGACAAATCCTCTGTAATGTGCATACTGTTAAGCTGACTCCTGCCGTTGGACAGTTGCAGCTCCATCATCACCGACATCTTATGACGGCCGCGAGCAGGAGGATGCCAGAAATGCGGATGGCGTCATGATGCTCATGGTGCTGGTTTTGGATCTGGTGCCGGTGCCGGTGATGTTGCTGCTGGTGATCGCTGCGGGTGGGGTGTTGTGTAGGCCAACAAGACCACGACAAGGAAGGCGACGCGGCGACGACTACTACTACTGCTGCTGCTGCCATTGCGACTCCTCCTCCTGCTGCCGCTGCTGCTACAGCAACGGCTACTGTTACTGCGACTGCTACTGGTGCATTAGCAGCAAGATACTTGACAACGCGCTTGCTAGTGCTCGTCAGCACTATCCCGATATTGGTTGATGACGAAGGTTTTGAGGCCCTGGCAAGCTATGCGTTCCCAGACCCGGATGCCCTGGCCACTCTGTGTCGTACTTGTGGGCATAAAGGCTGCTGAGCCTCAACACCAGCAAAAGTGCACCAAAATGCACCAAAAGCACAGGCACTCTTGCAAGCAAGCGCCGTGGCTAATGACATGATTCGATTGCCTTTTGTGTAGGGAAAGCATGACAACACTGCAAAGTGTAGCCGCAAAGCTGGGAGCCTCACCGATGTGGGCCAAGAGATGCAGGCCTTTCTTCGCACGGCAGCTTTGCCCGTCTCTTTGCCCGTATCATGCCGTACGGCCAACTGGCAATCCACAACGGCCACTCGCATCCGGCAATTGCTGTTCTAGGGGAACGGCAAACGAGCAGCGAGCTCTGCAGCCAGTTGAAGCAATATCTCGGCCTGGGGCCATGCAGTTGCAGTTCATGTTCTACAAATTGTCGCGAGTAGGCCGGAACCTGAATCAGGCAAGATCCTGTGGTTCGTACACTCGGGCCCCGTCGTGGAGTCCGTCAAAGAGACTCGCCTTGAGATAAGATCCACCCGCCTGTGGACTATACCAGACGGTGGCCTTGCACAATCCAAATGCCACATTGTGAAAATCTCAGAGGCTCCACGGGGCATGGGGCACCCCAGGCTGAGGCAGGCACCTCAAGGAGATGCTGCACCAAAGCTGCCAAGGGCTTCGGCAACAGGGCTGCATCCAAGTGAGCCAGGCCCTCCTCGTCGGGGCTTTAGGGAAGCCCTCTGGACACGGAGGGCCGGATGCATGCACAATGCAGGCTTGGGGCCTGCGCCCATGTTTGTTGACACTTGGCAGATCAAGCGAAACCTAGTCCGGCCACAGGTGGGCCTGGAGCCTCATAGATAGTCGTCGGACTCCCGCTGCGCTGTTTTCACGCAGCCTGTAGCGCATCGAATTGCACGGACTTTGTCACCACGGGCTTGGAACTGACATACGTGTATACAGATAGCATGACAACCATGACCGCCAAGAGGGTGCGGATGTCGAATGTGGTTTGGAATATCGGCAGCAGCACCTCCATGAGGTAAGTGCCTAGTACAGCCAAACTCTCGCCCATGTTCTTCAGGACGGAGTCCAAGTACACAAGGAGATATAGTGTGCTCCATGCCTTCAGCATGTGCGTTACGGCCACAGCGACAGTGCAAGAGTCCCACCCATGAAAGAAGCCGTTGTTCAGCGTCTTTCCATCCAAACACACTAATACCGCAAGAAGGAGAGTCCGCGAGACACGCAGCTGCACTGCTTGTATATATACAGGATCGTTGAACTGCTTGGTGTACCTGTCCGTGAGCACGGCAGCGAGGCAGCTCACTGTCACCTTCAGCACCACGTTGACCGTCCCCAGCAGCTTATCTGAATCGCCATCGTCCGTGTCACGGTGCATGTCGAGACACATGTACACAGACATGGAGCACACGACGAGTGCAAGCAAATTCCACTGAAATGGCGTCTGGCCTTTGCCACTTACCAGCCACAGCATCAGTGCAGTGATCAGCAGCCTCGACTGGAGAAGAATTTGATAGGAACCTCCACCGAGCGACACCATGCTCCGCATTTCGAGGTAGTCCCCAAGACCGAAAAGGAAGCCGATCATCGTGAAAATCTTCCTTAACTGGCAGGTGACTTGTCTCAAAAGGAATGCTATGACAAGAGCCATACCAGAAGCGGAATGACCCTGAGCGCGTCATCCTCTATGCAGCTGGCTTATTGGTGTCAGCGGGTTCACAGGGCGAAGCCACCGCCAAGGCACAGTGGAGCCGGGTTCCAAATTGTCATCCACCTCTGCTTGCGAAATCTGCTTCCATGGCCCTTTAAGCTGCTACCACTTGACTCCGATAAAGAGAGACTAGACATGCGCCTGCCCTTGGCTTCTGTTGGGGTCTGGGCAGCAGGGCTCACAGCAGAGGTCGAGGCACTCCCCGCGCCACCACGCCAAGGCCTGAGCCACCAGCATCGACATGCCCACCTGCGAGGGATTGGAGTTCAGGTCCCAAAAAAAAACCAGTGGAGACCTGTGGCGAGCCTCGGCCAAGTTGGCGGTCTGAGGTCCATATGCGAAGAACTTGGTCCCATCTTCCCCGATGCTTTTGGAGGCATCAATCACCTCAAAGGGGTTGGTTTTTTCCACACTGGTGTCAGTCCGGGCCGCTTCTACTCCAGCAGAGGGGCCGTGGGGTGGATCGCGCGAATGAACACGAAGAAAATGAACAACGTGGTCTTGACTGTGGCAGAAGGTTGAACCTTGGGCTTCCTCAAATCCTTGAACTCATGCCCTGTATACGCCATAACATCACGGAGCTTCGCACATGGCTCCACGGGCACTTGAGATGTTTACTGTAGCGGGCTGCGGCAGCTCGATGAAGCCGGAGACCGCGCTAAGAAAAGCAGCAGCAGCGGCAGCAGGCGCTCGTCCTTCTGGAAGGTCTCGTCCAGCAAGCCCCAGTCGACACTCGAACTTAGGACCTTGTGCGGCATGCAAGGCCTTGTCACCTTGGATGAGTGAAGCCATTTGTTTTGCTCCGAGATGCTGACACCACCTTCGACCTTTTCCTGGCGCAGTTGAACCATTGCTGCACCCATCTACTGGTTTGAAAGCCCTGCAATACATGTGGCGGCAATTTTCGTCGGTGGAGCCAGGTGTGGCACATGCACGGCCCGGTCCAGGTAGGGCTTCAGCCTTGCTGTGCTTGCGAAGCGCTTAACCCTCGGCCTGAGCCGATGCTCCGTGCACGCCCTTTTCTTGCTGTCGAATCGATCTCGTCCTCCAGCCATGCCAGTGCCTGCCCGCAGCGCCACGATGCGCCACGAATCACCCCAATTTAAGCGGAGAAAAGCATTCTGTTCCGAACACCTTCCGACCGAAGCCTATGTTCACAAGACAGCTCTGCTCCGTGCGTTTGCAGCTCCCAGCCTGGGGCTTCAGCATCTCTGCTGACGAGAGGCGCCCTGCGCCGAGCTCCATTGCAAGGCCAGACCTGGGAAAAGATTGCGATGTGGAGTGCATGCAATAAAAGAAGGAGACCAGGTATCAAACTACATGGTTACATCTGTGTTACATGATGGTATTTCGTAGTTGTGTGCGTATCTGCAAGAACAGGTTTCTCAGGCCAGACCATGCTGGCCGATGTCAGCATGTTGTAAAAAGACACAGCGCCATCCCTCCCGCATGCATGCATTCACATGTGTGCGTGCCAGCATGAAGGCACACGTACATCTTTTCATGCTTCGCAAGTGTATTTGCGTTCATGAATTCCTTTGTTATCCACATGTCTTGTCATCGGTTAGCATTTTCGAAGCTATGTTCTGTGTTGTCTGCTCTGTTAGGTCGGAAACCAAACCCACGCAGTCAATATTCTGTGTTGTACTGGGTAGCTCTGTTCGTGCCTGCATGTCTTGCCGGTTGAAGTCGCTGCGGTGACGTCCAGAGAATAATTCCTTTACCCCATCGAAACTCTGGCACAAGAACATACAAGAACTCAGGGCCGTTCAGGACCATTGCCTGAGTGGCACTGGACTCACTGCCTCCCCGCCGGACGGTGCACCGAAGCAACTCCGTAAGGATGTGGCGCATCTCTGCAGCATCACTAAGTGCCCTGGAAACTCCTTGCAACAGACACGACAAGTTCTCTGAAGCCTGGGCCCCGACCCCGCATGAGCCGCCATGGAACGCCACGGAACGAAGGAACGCCCATGGACTACTTAGACTACTTACACTTTCTGGCACTCCTCGATCTCATCGAGCTCTCCGCCCCTGGCACATGCACTACGCGGCAGTTGACATCAAGGATTGCATCGGAGGCCTGAGGTAAGAGTCCAACGTCATGAGGTCCACATCCATCTCAGCTTCCAAAACGTGGACGCTACCCCCACGCCCTGCATTGCAACAAGGCTCAGCTGGGAACGGGCATTCCCACTTTGGGAGCCAGGCGGTTCCTTAGAAACTCAAGCCCTTGTATGGTCAGACTTTGCCGCGTTGTCGAGGGGTGTTTGTGGAAGCTGCCCACTCAAGCCTATCCTACAGTATCATGGCCATGAAGCGAAACAAAACAAACCATCAACTCCTCGAAGTACGAAGAGTGCGTTGCCGTAGCTGCATGAGTCCGCCGGGCTATTGACCGACATCTACGTGAACATGCAAGGCTGGCAAAATCCCCAAAAGGCAGGTACGACGTCCAGCCAAGCTTCATGTCGTAGGGGTATGGGCCCCGATTGAAGAAGACATGCGCCAAGAGCAGCGCTAGCCTCCGGTCCTGGCAGTCAATCACGACAGCTAGACAGCTAGACCCGCCCTCACATCATATCCTATCATTCCTACATCAGCTTCAGTGCGGATGGGTTCCTGAACTCCAAGCTCCACTATAGGCCCAGCGTAGCTTCAGAATTTGATCAGGGGCTTGGTGGCTTGGGATGTATACGTTCGGGTTCTCGGACTAAGACTTGACTAGGATGCATGCTGCGTTCGGGCCTGGGGGGGGGGGGGGCAGGGGGTGCTCCATGGGTGCGGGGATTTGGCCGGACCCCTCATCTTGTAGTCAAAATGTTTGAATCATGTGAAGCCCGAAGACATCATGAATCACGATCTGCCAGATCAAACACCTCTGAAGATTCCTGGAAAGGGTACGGGTACCTGGTTACGGCTGCGGAAGCCGCAAGCCCAGAAAGCTGCCGGTACCTGCAAGGACGGGTGAGAAAGCAGAGATTTTCCGGGGAGCACATGCTTTCAACGACTGCAACAGACAGTGGCTGCTACAGCGAAACGATGAGTCTGCTGGGGCTTAGGTGCCGGTTTTGTTATCAGCGTCAGTTTCGGTACACTCCCGTAGCTGCCCCCGATCTGGCTAGAAGGGTCTTGCTCGTCTCTTTCTTCGGGATCCGCGTCTTGCGCTTAGGTGATCGCAGGGGTCGAAGCTGCCGGCCGAGGAAACATGGGACAGTTTGCAGTACGGGTACAGCCGCCATAGTGAGCGGTGCCAGGCTCGAGGCCCAATGACTTACACAACTCGGCCTGTCAGTTGCTCCGCAGCCTGCAGTATCTCATGCGTCTTCCAAGCAGATGCCCCAAACTCCCTAAACTCCAAGTCCCGCAGCATCCGCATGACCCTGTGATGGCAAGGGCATCTAGGCTGGGAAAACGCAAGTGCCTTCTATACCCGCCCGTCATGGTCAGAACTCGTTTGAGTTCTAACCGGCTTCGTCTGCTTTCGGCTATCTGTACATCTATCGCAGCACGAAAACAAGGTGGTGTTGGCCCCAGATTCAACTGTTGCCTGTAACATGTAAAGAACGGATCTCAGATTCCGGCATAAAGCCAGCCAAGGCTAAGCCAGTGCCAGCCAGGTCCAAGCAAGGACGTCAAGCTTTCTGTCGCCCGTGGTTTGCCATGTCTACACGCTGTACTGCCGCTCCAGTGTCTTGCCTGTCGTCCAAAATGCGGCTTTAAAAGTAACCCCCGCTTGTAGGGAGCATATTTACACTATACGCCGCTGATATTGGAACTCAGGACTGCGCCTGACCAGCATTCCTGCAAAAGCTTGGCAGCTCCACGACATGCGGCGCAACCCGCAGAACCACGAGACTTCAGATACAGAGTCCGAATCACAGCAATTCACGCGAGTTGTATAATCTGAGGTCACGTGCCACGCCTGCCAGCAGATGCAATCCTGAACTCCAGACTCCATGAAATATGTAAGCACTGCTGACATTCGAAGGCACTGTCACCCTACACCGGAGAGATAGCTTGATAGGCGTTTACAACGATGTCCAATCCCAAGGTAAAGCTGGCAATCCAGCCGAACCCTTTGAGAGAGCTCAGCTGGCTCGGCGCCTAGGCATCGTCTGACCCGTGCTTCTGCTCGCCGAAGGTCTCCTGCAAAGTGGCACGAGACAAGCGTTCACCGAAACTGGAAAGACTCAGACTCAGGTCCTTGATTGCATCCTTGACGATCTGAGCGCCCACCTTGTGGTGACAGCTCATCACAGAAGTGCCATTCACAGCCTCAGTCAGTACCGCAGAAGTATGCAGAAGTAAGTATGGGGGGCAGGATTAGTCGCTTTGGGGTGATGCCTTTTCCAGGTTCCGAACCTTAAAAAACGAGTTGCATTACATCTTGCTTTTGTCGCCCTCCGCAACTGATCGACTGGTACAACTCACGGTCCAATGCTTTCGGCTCTCGTCCTCCTCCTCTCTGTCTTCATCTTGCAGCTTCTGCGCGTTCATGCGCGTTCCACATATCCGTTGGCACAAATCGATTTCCCCCGACTCACACCCCTCCACCCCCCACCCTGCAGGCTGCGCACGCTTCTTGAGGGACATAGGTGACATAGGGCGGATGCCACACTTTGCAGGTAGAGGCAAGCAGACAAGCAGCTGCTAAAGCCCAACCAGGCTGGACATTCAGGCCGAACTCCTTCACCGCACCTTTCTCGTTGATGTTCGCAACCTCTCAAAGGGGTTCAGGTTTTGACTTCCACACCTGCAAAGGATCGTGGGATTGTGCGATTGTAACTAGGCACTAGTACTGCCGTCGTGGGATACCTTGCGATGATATGATCCGGGTGGAAGCGTGAGAACTGCAAAGGACGAGAGCAAGAGCACACACCCAGAAGAGACCCTGCGGCAGAACCTTGCAATCATGCCAGATGTGCGTAGGTGCTAAGGCTGTGCTGGGCTGGCCTTGAGAGGGGACTGCTTATACGCCAGGCGGAAGCCCAGAGGTGCTTTTGGGAAGACCACGGTCACCTCCTTGTTCTCCTACAGGCCGTCAGGCTGGCAGAATACCTGCTAGTATCTGCTAGTACCCTTCCACCCAGATCTCGTGACACCCGGCAGAACTAAACAAAGGCTCCTCTGTCCGGAAAGTGAGGCTCAAAGTCTTCCCAAACCTTGGATGCTGCTCTCTTGTCCAAGCGTTGCTTCAGCAAGGCGAAACAAGCCGCTCCCTGCAGCCCGGGCACCATTCTTCGGACATGCCAAAGGACCCTGCCTCGGCTGCACTGCCCCGTCGGCTTTCAAGTTCAACCCGAGTTCTGCCGCCAGGATCTAATGTTTTCCGGGAATGCGGCACCATCTGGACTGAAGCCGGTCGTGTCCTGCCAGGTTCGATTCAGACGATGCTGGATGTGCAGCACCAGCACTTGGAAGGTCACTGCGGTCCCCGCAAGCGCAGCAGGAATTGCCCATGGCTGCAGCCTAGAAACGATAAGCCTTGAGCCGGCGGTCACTGCGGAAAGCTGCGGTGTTCAATTGGTTCTTCTGTTGCCAACCTCTGGCCGGCACCTAACATGAACAAGAACTTCAGATGTATTCTTTGCTGCGCCAAAGTCTACGGAGAGCATCGAGTGGCGCACTGCATCGTCGTTCTCGTCTGCAATGGCCTTCCGAATGGGCAGCGGCAACCAAACCAGCCAAATCAGCTCTTCTTGCAAGAACTCAGAGTGGCCCAGGCCACAAGCAGCTTGGCGATGTTCGTGCGCTGCTCCTTGCTGAGCCTGGGAGCAGAGCCCGGCGGAATTTTTCTCTCCAATTCCTGGAGGCCCTTATTGCGACGGCCTGGAGCATGCGCCGTAGTCGATGAGGCCCAGCTTTCCATCTGGCATCATGAACACCTACAGCACTTAAATAGAGCAAAGTGTGAAGTCGGAGAAGAGGAGAGGTCTTGGCAATTGCCGGGGCTGCTGCATTGCCGGCATGGGGATCCGAATTGAAAAGCCCCAACTGGAATATTTCGTAGCCGTGCACTGCATAGAGAAGCCTCCAGAGCAGCGGAGACACCGGGCGAAACCACAGCTAAAGGTATTTCACAAGCATGGCCTGGAAAGCTTTGGTCCATTCACAGGCACCGGCAGGCTCTGTTTAGCCCATCGTGGAGCTTCAACCTCAGCTGTGCACAACGCGATTGTTTTGCTCGATCTGGCGGCAGTCTTTGTCAAGTACCAGCTCTGAGTTTTCTTCGGGCGACTGCTCCACAAGAGACAAGAGTTACACGAACTATGTAAAATGTAGTCCGCCCCACCCCACAGGAGTCCGCCAAGCAGGTTCTTCCGGCCTCTGTAAAAAGCTTAGCTGGCTCGGAACTTTGCTGGTGCTCAAGTTCTTAGGCCCGCCCTTCGTGAACCTGTGCACGGTGCAGACTCCCCTTGAGACTCCGTGGGCGCATTGTGGGACCCCTTCCCACGTGACGCGTGTCTATGCACATGGCACGGAGCTGCAAAAGGCAAAGCCTCCGAATCCAGGATCCGACTACTGATGCGGCGATGGCCAGACCAGGATGCCGATGAGACCGATCATAGGTCCACTGAGCTGCAGAGAAATTTCTTTAGCTGCAGAGGATTTGGGACGGCAAGAGGATCCTGGCAACTTGCCTTTACTCTGTAAAAACTTGTACACTCCCCGGCACGCTGCATCCCAATACTGGGGGACAGCGGAGGTCGTTTACTTTGGGCAGAACATGTCCTACAGTCCTACGGTCCTAAAGCGTAAACTCAGACGGTCGGTAGACGTCGTAGTTCCATATCTCCCAGAAGATGTGCTGCGTCTCACAATACCTCGGCGCAATTCAACGGTGGGGGACCCATCGAGCAACATGAAGGCTGCATTTGCAGGCCCAATACTTGCAGTTGAAGGCCATCGCATCATCTTGGCCGTTTCCTGCAAGCCACACCCATGTCCTACCCTAGTATAGAACTAATTAATTTAGCAAGGGGTATCTGTATGTATATGTAATGTATGTATGTATGTATGTATGTATGTATGTATGTATGTATGTATGTATGTGTATATATATATATAGATATACATACGTACGTATGTGCGTGTATATGTATAGATGTATGTATGTATACAAACAAACAAACCAACAAACAACAAACATGCATACGTACACACAGTGCCGTGCCGTACCATACCATGCCATACAAGTACCATGCAAAGCCATGCCATGCCATCCAATACATTACATTACGTTACATTACATTTCGTTACACTACATTAGATTCAATTACATTACATTACATTACATTGCATTGCATTACGTTGCATCCATACATCCATACATCCATACATGCATACATACATGCATGCATGCATAAATATATGTACAAATACATGTATGTGCATACACACACATATATAGATATATACATTGTAATATCTAGTTTTAAGATATATTATCAAAAAAGCACTGCACATTTTGCTGTTGTACGAAAAACAAGTATATGATAATCTAATGCTATCATGTAACACCACATAACATAAAATAATATGACATATGAGTTACATGCGTGGGTCCGGAGCGGCACCGCTCGAAGAAGGGCTCCACCTCGTGCTGCATGTTCTTTGGGTGAGACACGCAGGCCGTGTTCTTGCAGGCGATGTCCTGGGGCTTCCCGTAGTTCTTTGCTTCCCGCACGTCAGGTTGATACCTTCTAGTTTTAAAGCATTCAAGGCTTTTAGTGATGAGGGCCACATCCGGTTTTCATTCTCGACACTAAACTTACTTATTCCAAGCACGCACTGCTGGTAGCTACATGAACTAACCTCAGCACAAGTCGCATCCGCACTAAGATTTCCCTTTCCCAGCCCCGTCCTTGAAGTTGTAGACCCGCGGAGGGACTTGGAGACGGAACTCGCGCTCGACGGCGCCATCCTTGACCACCTCCAATGCTTTCAGCGTGGCGCCGCCGCTCTTGGAAAATCTCTGAACATGTGGGGCGACGGATTTTCATCAAGGCAACTGACAAATTTCCAGAGTGTTAGACCACCGGATTTCACAATTCCACATGTAGTACGCGCATAGCAGGGTCCCACGCATCCCCTTCCACTTCTAGTGCATATTTCGAACCTTCCTCAAAGTCATTAGCTTCCAGGGTCAGGACTGCACGTGTCCCGTGAAGCGTCCCCTGCGAGACCGCCTTCAGCATACTCCCCGGGGCCATCGCAGCCAGGCGCCTCGACCAGTCGGCAGCACGCAAAGTGCGCGAAAGTGCGCAAAAAGGCGGAGCTGAGGCCGAGGCTTCAGGGGCTGCCGGTCCCAGCTGCTGATGTCAACGTCGGGCACTGCAATGAAGCCGCTGCCTACACAGCTACCTGCGAGCTGCTTAGCGCTTCAGACTTACGGCCGTGCTTCTGCAGTACGGCTTTGTGGCTCACGAACCCAAACACAGCCCAGTGGCCGCTCGTCTCGTCAGACATGCGCACACCTTGACCCCCCACATGATGCAAGTCCAAGATGTCCCGGACCATATACATGAGGCTCCAGACCTGCTGACGGCAACAACGAGGTCATCGGCAAAGCTTATCGTATTGCTGCTTGTTTCGAATAGGAAGTCTTCCTCACGGTTGCAAAACGGTGCATGCTGCAAGTACTGTCGTTCCTGCAGGATGCTCATGCTCACGCCTGCTCGATGGGTTGCCCGGCAGCCAGGTTCTCGATGACGATCCCATTTGCGATGGGCACCAGCCCCACCTCCAAAAGGCAGCAACTTCCACACATGTGTTCGCTCTTCTGAATTGGGGTGCCTCCTGGCTTACCCTCTCCGGAGAAGTGATGTCCGGCGAGGTCGCCACCTCCTTGCCGATGCGCCTAGTGACTCCTAATGCGCATCCTTAGCTACACCCCTGCGTGCGTGTCCAGCTCGCGTTTGCCGTCTGCGCGAGCTCTCAAACAAAACTGTGTTCGATTGCAACTCAGATCAAGGCATTTAACCAAGCAAGTGGTGACTGAAGTCTTGGCTCGCGGTCTAGCAGTGTAGCTACCGCAGCAAGATGCGGCAAGCCCGCAGCAGGATCCTTGATGAAATCTGTGGCAGCCATCAGGGCCGGAGAATATCCCAAATCCAAATCATCTGGGAGTTCCATCGCGTTCCGCTGACTCGTCGGCGAGAAGTCTCCTGCCGGATGGCCCCGTTTGCAAGTGGGTGCCTTTACGGGGATGCGACCATGTGAGTCTATGCCGACTGTGACCCTGACTCGGAAATGCAAAACCCTGCAAACTCCATGCACATGCCCAGTCTTTTGCGATTGTTTCCTGAAGACTAACATCCGGAGCCAAACCCGAAAGTCCAGCCGCGGCGCCTCGCAGGCTGGGGCTGAAAAGCATGGGGCTGCCGGGTTGCCTGGCCTCCGCCTGTCCGTACACTTCTGCATTATGAAATACAGTATAATAGACATAATACAATATAAAAACATATCATATAATGTAATACAATATGGTATGATATTCTTTGAGTATGTGTATGCGCTGGGGTGGGCCTGGTATCGTCAACACTACCAGTACCACGATATCCCGTAGCAATAAACACCCAAAACAACGTGGTCATCCGTGGCCTTAGAGTGGGTCGAACGCTTTCCTTTTTGTCTTTCGACGTCGAAGTCTCGAATCGAGAATCTTACATTCTCGGCATGATAGGAAGCATGGGGCCTTGGGCCAGCCCCACATCAGTGCTGCAAACTTGCAAACTCCACCTTCAGGTCCACACGATAATCATCTCCAAAGTGCCCACCTGACAATCTCCAAGGCTGTTCTACGACACGACCTCCTCCTTCGGCTGGAGCCACGTTGTGCATTAGACGCTTCTTCTACCGTCTTGTCAAGCTGCATGCCCATCTAAAGCTTGGATGCGGGCCTAGCATGCCCAGGAGGACGATGCCTGGGAAACACAGGCACCCCACCACACCTGTTTCTGTCAAAGATGCTGCACTTCGAAGAAGAACCCAGACATTCCATCTGAGGAGCGAGTGAAGTAGCCATTCCTCACCGGGAAGGATACCATATTAAATATGGATTCTAGAATCATCACTGCAAGGCATGTGTCCCCTCAGACTCTTGCTTTGCGTCGCAAAAAGAGCTACAGTACATCGATGTCGGAAGTCGGAACACTTCCCCGACTTCACCCACTCTCACCACCAAGGCTCTGCGATTGCTGGTCCCAGCCGTTGAGCTCCGTGCTGTCCAGCCAGTATGGCAGCGTCGGGTGTCTGGCGTCCCGCGGCCTTGGGGTTCACATGGGTGCTATGAAAGTCAGCAGTCTGCAAACTTTCTGCTTGTAGGCCACAGGGGGTGGAAAAACTTCACGCCCTGCGGAAGCTTGTCCAGGAAGTCCTGTCTCATGGTCACGGCCTTTCGAAGTTCCTTTGACTTCTCCAAAACCTGTCACGCCAAAGCCAACGATGAGCGCAGTCTTCTTTGAAGTGCGCAGTAGCACCGTTGGCCTTGTCACCCATGCGCTCCAGCTGCAATCGGGTGAAATACCAGATCTTTGCCACCTTCTCTTGGGCCAGGTAGTCGTCGATAGATGCGAACTTCCTAGCAGCTCAGCACCGCTTCCAACACACTCCTGCACCGCTGCCAGCAAGTATAAACTCTCAATCGCATTTTGCCATGCCGTAGCCTCACCACGTAGCCTCTGGCGACCATGCGATCTTCGTACATCTTTGGAAGGGCCAGTTCACTGGGGGCAACCAAATCGACGAACACCTTTCGGTATATCCTGCCAACGCAAGTACCGGAGAACAGAATGCGACAGCGATCTCACAGCCGGAACGTTGAGCACCCAGTCCTGAGGCCATCGACCTTTGAATGTACAGTGCGTCCATGAAACAAATCTCCGAGCAAGGCCAAGTGGATACTGGAGGTATCCCAGCCTCGACCAGTTGACAAGACAGGCCCTCGAGGGGGGAAAGGCCAAAAAAAATCAAAAACAAGGAAGTCGTCAACACCACGGCCTCAGTAAGAAAAACTCAGAGCCACTGTCGGAGGCATCTCCGACCGACACTGCAACATCAAGAGATTGCCCCTGGCATCCACCCATCCATCCAGTCATTCCATCCCTCCATCCATCACTGAATACATCCATACATCCAGCCACAAACCGGCACATCTATCGGTACGATCATGCTTCCAACTTCCAACCATCCATACATGCATACAAACAAACATTCATCAACCAGCCTTCACATCTACATCCATATATTATACACCTACATCAACCTCTCCTCATCCACATCTGTAGTCACTGTTGTAAAGTATACGAAGAAGCATGGGTGCGACCGCGTGTGACCTCGTTTCTTTACGAGGTCACACCCGGTCGCACCCATCAGTTGGTATGGAAGAACTCAGACAAAACCCACTGATTCTCAATGACGGTTGCCAAGGCCGGAAGAGAAAACGACAAAACCCCCATGTCGCCTTCGAAGGCAAGGGTGGGTTCGACCGGGTACGATTCTTTTACGAGGTCGCGCCCAATATTGTTGTTGTGGAAGCATTCAGACAAACTAACATACAGTCCAAACTGCACGATCCCTCGTAGAAAACGAGATAACCCCCATGTCGCCGCCTTCGATGTGGTGACCGAGCTTTTTTGTGCGAGGGCCGCACCCGGTCGCACCCATCACTTGATGTGGAAGCATTCAAACCAAAAACCCAATGATACTCCATGACGATTGCCAAAGCAGGAAAAGCACATAAAGCCCAGTGCACGATCTCTCGTAGAAAACGACATAACCCCATGTCGCCTTCGAGTTAAGGGTGGGTACGATCGGGCGCGACCTCGTTTTGTACGACGTCGCTCCCGGTCGCAGGCATATATAATTCGTTCTGGAAGCATTCAAACAAAAACCCAAGCCGGAAGAACACATACAGCCCAAACTGCACCATCCCTCGTAGAACACGACATAACCCCATGTCGCCTTCGAAGGCAGGGGTGGGTGCGACCGGGTGCGACCTCGTTTCTTTGTCTTCCACGTGGAGTATGTCGCTTTCTGATTCGAGCCGACTTGTTGTTGACTACTGCTGTGTCCTGCCTGTGACTCGAGGCCTGGCTCTTTGCCACAGACGGCTGCCAGATTGCTGACTCGATTTGCTGACAGCCGCCGGCATTTGATGACACAAGCTGCTCTGGCCCTCGACGACCTTAACTCGTGACCCCTCCAAATCTCCTGGATCGGAAAATCTCGTGGCTGGTTCTAGATTCTAGCACAAGAGCGGCTCGAAGAACTAGAATCACTCGTCCCGTCATCCCGTTCCGTCGCCTTTCTGCTCCAGGAAGCTGAACTCATCGAGCATCTCCTGGGAGGGGTGCTCGTGCCGGCCGTCTCCTGCCCGAAACGAGCACGGGAGAGGGAACCCGCAGACGCACACGACTCGTCAGCGTTTTGGGGGGAACCACCGGCTCGCCTGCATTGATGAAGGAAGCTCGAGGAAAGCCCCGCTGCCTCGGAGGCGCCCGACAGGATACAGTAAAAGCATCGAGCAGGGTCCACCTACCCCATCCTACTCCGACTTGGCAAAAGCAGCACTGGCCACGGCCGCTTCAGGGAGATTAGAGGCAAGGCGCTTGCAATACTTCGAAATCGCCTCCTCCAGCCACCGGCACACACCCTCCACCTGCAGCGGGCTCTCGCATCTCTGCGAGGAGGGGATTGCTGCGTGCGTGCGCTCTGCATAGCCATGGTGACAGCATGTTGCAGACTTGCTTGCAAGCCTGGGCTGGTTAACCTTCGGCTGCGTGCATGTGAGTGTGTCGGTGTGTGAGTGTGTACGTGTGTGGGAGTGTGTGGGAGCGTGTGGGGGTGTGTGGGGGTGTGTGGGTGTGAGTGGGTGTGAGGGGGTGTGAGGGGGTGTGGGTATGGGGATTGTGTGTGCACGTGCACCTGTGTATGTATGCAAGTATGTATGGATGGATGTATGGATGGATGGATGTCTGGATGTATGAATGAATGTATGTACGAATGAATGAGTGACTGAGTGACTGAGCGACTGACTGACTGAATGAATGAATGAATGGATGGATTTACCTACCGTATGCATGTATGCAACTACGTATGTATGAGCGTGTAAGCATGTAAGCGTGCACGTGCGTGCGTTTGTCTGTCTCCCGATGCAACGAACCTCCTTTGGGCACCTCGCAACCGCCAAGAGCACCTACGCCGCAATGACCTACAAAATGGCCTTGGAGCGGATCACGAACAAACTTTGCCCGGTGGAATAGCCACACAGCATCTTGATGGTGTCCGTGATGGTCTCGTTCTTCCTTTGTCAAGTCTCGCTCCCAGCTAGTTCAAAGCAAAAGCCGCGAGTGGGCCGAGCAAAAGAGCCGGGCGGCTGGAAGGAGGAGGTCTTTGCATCAAAAACATTCACCTTGAGGCCGTGAAACTCGGCGGCGTTGCGAAAGGATTCTTTGGTCCGCGTCGAGTCCTCCATGAAGATGGTGTAGACTGCCGCCTGTGTCACAGAGACTGCAGCCAGGCTTGAGGGATGTTGGTGCCACCGTGCTGCCAATGCCTCACGGTTCTGTAGCCGGAAACGATCCGGGTCCTCGCCATTCTTGAAGGCTTCTTTGAGCTCCCCTCGGCATGAAAACAGTCTCAACCTTTCCAGCAACGAGCTGGCACAGACATATTCGCGGTCAAGAGTCGTGTCTTGTGGTACACATACCACTGCTCATCCAGGGTCAAGTCGTTCACTATCGCTATCTGAGCAACCCAAGACATGGCATCGCAAGCCAACAGATCATAACACAACAAGCGTCGCTTGCAAGTTGCTTTCACTTGGCTGCCGGGGGGCCGTCCTCCCCTGGAACGGGTGCTTCTTGACCACACCGCTCTGCTCTCTCTTTGCCATTCTAGGCAGGAAGCGCTCTTGGCCCACAATGGAGCGAAATGCCACAGCTGCGGCGGCGGTACCGTGCGAGCGTCAACATGCAACATCCTGAACCTACTAGACAGAAGACGCAAGACATCGGAAGACAGGATCAGCAGCACTGCAGCACCACTCCTTGCAGACTTGGAACCACTTCCTCTGAGGCAGCAACCCTAAAGATGCCTTCGGCACATGCGCCCGCGATCCTGCGCACACCGACATGCACCCGGCATGTGCCCCTTGCGATTCTCTGCGCCAAGTTCGCTTCAGGAGTCCTGGAAGCAAGGTTCCTCGCCTGCGAGGCAAGCAGGAGCTTGAAAGACCAGCTCTGTGCCGGGCAGCTGGGCAGACAAGATGGGCAGGGACAGGCAGGGTCGGGGGGCCTGGATGCCAGCTGCGAGGAGATGGCTCTGACACTCGGTCACCCGCCCCATGTGCAGGGCCTCGGCAGCGCGACACGGAGCCCCGTGAGAGGCACTAAATGCACTTGGCCTCAGCCTCCGGCCCGTCTTACAAGCATGTTACTCATGTCCACCTGGCGCGAGACGGCGCCTCCGGCTCTGCGCTTGGCAGAGAAGCAACTGCGAAACGACGAGCCCCAGTCCCGCCTTGGACAAGTCCTGAGAGTCCAGCATCCTCCGTGGGCATGCAAGCCAGACGTGGGACCACGAAATACCACGAACAGCTATACTGGCTGTACTGCAAGGCCGAGCACCATTGCATGGGACGCCAGCACCCCAGTGCGTTACCAGTCAAAGAGAGGGCCGCGACCAACAGCACAAAAACGACTACAGCGATACCGCAGTTCCGAAAGCTGCGAAAGCAAGGTCCTCTTGAGCTCCTCCCAGGTCATTCCATACGCCTCCGCAAACCTCAAGCAAACCACACAAGTGATCACAGGTGTATGCTGCATGCTGCACATCGACCCGACGGATTGACACCACACCCTCGACGTGGGCTGAATCAACGCGAAGGCTGGCTTAGAAACATCTCTCAAGAATTTCAGCCGAAACGCATCTTCATCAGCGGCATGGAATACTTTCGAATGGGCGTTCCATGTAGGCGCTCCTTGGCGTGAAAGGCGATAACACCCACCACTCCCGATCAAACCTTCCCCTGGTTCAATGCTTCAACAAACAACCAAAGACCGCAACAGATTAACCAAGGTGGTTCGAATCCATCACAACTACCTTGCGTGCATCTTCGTCTGCCATCGCTGAGCCGAAGACCATGACCAGGACCTGCAAAGGTCAGAACGAGGCAGAGGCATTATTCCACCCTCAGAGCCTTTCCTTGGACTACTGAGGCCCTCCGAAGCTCACCTACAGAAAAGCAGAGCCACATCCTTCAAGTCAACCTCCTTCACCTCAATGCACCAACAACCCCAGGCATCCGTCAGACAACCCGCAACATGCGACTCTGCCTTGGGAGTGCAAAGCCCGCCAGAGGCGGGGCACGAGGGGTGAGCTCGGTCGATCCTCAGAGCTCAGAAAAGACTCCGAGTTTTCAAGACGTGACATGTTACAGTGTTCAAGCCCGAGGAGCGGCAAGGGAATCTCAATCTCATCTCCAAACTCAGGCCTCGGTATCCGGCTTGGAGGTCGGGGCAGCTGAGCCGCTTACTGAAGCTCCTGGCAGCAGGTTGTCGGCCAGCTCGCGCATCACACCCGCCTCTGCGACGCGGGCGCCCATGCTCTACAGCCAATAGGGCCAAGCTCGGAGCCTCTGAAGTGAAGTCAAACTCCTGTCTGAACTGGTCCTGCCAGTTCGTGTAGCGGAGTTACGTCGCATGAGGGCGCGTTTAGTCACAACATCCCCAAGTGTACGCCCGCAAGAGACCCACATCAGCGGCATCACAATTCGAGACACTATATCATAGCAGTCAGAGCATGCTCAAGCCAGCCATTCCCCATGTAGGTGTGTCTCTGTCTCTCTGTCTTCTGTATGTGTGTGTATATATATATATGTTTGTGTGTGTGTGTGTGCGTGTTGTGTGTACCCAGCGCCAAACAGTGCGACTGAGACTGGTTTGGATGAGCTGGACCTATNNGCTCCGAAATGGACAAGCACCCGTTCGAGACACTCGTGGCATCACAACACATCGAAACCGGCCATTCCCCATGAAGACACTCGATTGCACAAAGCACAAACAAGCATGCAAGATGTTATCACAGTAGTGGATTGCATGGGTTGACAATACGTTTCCGCAACGGCACACTGCAAAACCAAGCATGTAACATGTTCTCACAGTAGTGGATTGTATGGGTTGACAATTGCTTTCGCAAGTGCAGACCTTGGATCGATGCGACTAAACACAAGTCGATGCGCCTTAACCCATGTACCCAGTATATGCCAATATCCACAGATGTCCCACGCGAGTGATACACAGCTTCTTGAGCGCCTGCATCGTGGAAAAGATCTCTTGAACTTGGCTGCCCATACCAAGCAACTGCATGGCCTGACAGTGTGATTGCAGCTGTGGAAGCTCTCGTGATTCAGAGACTGTCTGTCTGGGTTGCCAGCAAAGGAAACTGTTGCAACCTCGGTGTATAACTAGTATGTCCATCCACCATCATCCACCCATCCGCATAAATTTTTGGGACTCCGCGGAAATTCTGCGTCCCCACAAATGACAAGTTCAACAACGACACTTTTATTAACTCCTTGGTGCTGTACATCAAAATTGCCGAACGGTGACATGTCTTCACAACGTTCATGAAATCACGCGCAGAGGTTTCACTCAGCGGGCGTCCCACGACTGACTCTTCAGACTTGATCACCGCATATGCCCATTTTACAACAGAGGCACATCCATGTAGAAAAAGCGCTCCACGCTCGGGTACTGCACTTTGACCGCCACCTCAGAGGCGGTCTTTGGGCCTACGGCCCTACATGGGCTCCCAATGCCAAGCCTCGGTGCCGTCCGAAAGCTTCGCAAAGTGCACCTAGCCACTGCGATCTGGCCAGATCTAGCAAGAAAGGAGTCGTCGGGCTTGACAATTGCCGGCGTGTTGCGTGCATGACAGCCGACCACAGTTACAGCTGCAACGGCCACAACTGCCTGCGCGATGGAGGCCGCAGCGACGGCATGGGTGTCGAAATGCTCGAAAATGTCGCCTGGAAGGCATCAGAAAGGAACTTCGCATGTGAGCAGCTAAACCGCACCACAAACATTGTCTGATAATCAGCAGCCTTGCCTATGCAGGCTCCCAACCTTGGGACAGCAAAGCTGCGCTCCTTCCTACGTGCTCTCCGGACTCCCGGCTCTGGGCTTCCTCGGTGCCGTGCTCCGCTTCGATGATTTCTTGGACCACTTCAAAAGGCTCCTGCCAGGTGCGTCTGAACATTTTCAGCGAGCCTTTTGTGGGCGAAGCTCTCTCCATCTTCAAGGCGCCTGCGGGCAATCGTCGAGGAGAACGGCAAAGACCTCATCGAACCTTCCGTGCTGATTTTTTGCAGATTGCTGAAATCTTCATCCTTCGTGCCAGGTTGCTCGGCGGGGAATTGCCCCGCACCGCACAAGGTCTGCGCAGCCTCCCCAACATCAAGAGAAGAACATGGCAGGAGTTCCGCCGAAGGTCCCAAGAATTCGCCTGCCTTCACATAATACCCCTTGAGGCTGAGCACCTAGCCGCCAGCTTGCAGGCCACGTGGCAGAGGACGGGAGGTGGAGTGCCAGGAGCCCGAGCTCGGAACCAATTCCAGCATTCTCTCTGCACATTGCCTGTTTAGGCCTTGGCAACTCTTGGCAACAACGAAGCTGAGCATTGCAGATATTGCAGCTGACACCTCGCTGCCAAGGAGCGCTTGATCTCTTGCAAGCGCTGGTCGTCTGTTCCAAACCGCCTGCGGCGATTGTCGCTGTCTAGAAAAACTGCTCAACGAGGTAAGTCCATGCATCCAGGGGTCCTCTGTCAGCTAAGTCCGGAAAGCGGATATTCTGAACATCCCGTTGAGTCTGAAACACGGATTATCGATGCGAGCTTATGTTCTTCGCTCTCCTCGCGAATTTGTTCGAAAGTTCATCCCAATGCTTTGATTTGAAGGATGCGGCCTCAGGGGCGTCACCCAGAAGGTCAGCAAGATGCTGGCCATGCCAAAGCCGAAGCGCACGCCTGAAGCACTTCGTCCTCTCGCTTCCCTGGACTCCCGCACTCAACGCTCGGAAGTCTGCCTCGAGCCATGCCTTCTAGCCAGGACGGTGTCAGACGGTCTCAGCTCAGACGATGCTTGATGGGATGAAGTTGCGGAGTGCTGAGCTCTCCGCCGGTCAAGGCTGAGAAGAAGCTGGTGAGAGAGTTCAGGAAGCCTCGCACAGCAACCAAAAGGAGCTGAGTGGCGGGAAGATGCGGGAAGCGAGCTCGCAACCCTGACACAAGCCGCCGCAATTAAGTTGGCCTCTGCCGGTGGGAGGCGACGACATGGCAACGGCTTAAGTGCGCGCAGCACGGAGCTTTTGCAGCCAAGAACCTATATTAAAGGAAACTGCAGGTGGGGAGTTTAGGGTATATAGGGCTTCTATAAGGTACATAGACCTTCTACAAGTAACTACCCACCTGAAACTGTCCCAGGCTATAGGCAGCTACTAGTATGCGCGGTGAGCAATGCGATCCGCCTCGAAATTACGCCCATAAGCGCCCATGCACGCAGAACATTGGTAAACCCCTTTCGATGCACTTGTTTCACACAAAAGGCTCACAGCTGGGCTTGGGAGCGGCAGCTCCCACACGGAGGTGCTTAGCTTTGAAGCCACACAGCCGTGCTGCCCTGCTAGCGCGGCGCGGCAGTCATATCAGCACGGAAGCAGCTGAGACCGAGGGACGCAAGTTTGCCAACGGGTAACTTAAGTTGATGTCACGAACCATGCAATGCCGTGCAAGTGACCCTGGTGTCCTCGTTTTACTTCGCAACACAGCGACAGGATCGGCGGAGGAGGCAAGTCGATCCGTGACTTATGGCCCCAGATGCAAGGTGAGCTGCGCCAGTGCAGAAAAGAAGTGCAGCCGCAACATCCACATAACTGGAACGCCAATAGTGAGTATCAGCTCAGCTGATTCAGTCGTTAAAGCATTCTTCACTGTGGACTGAACGGGCCAAGTCCCGCGAATGCTCGACCAGCAATGCTGGTGATCACAGAGCTACTATGTGCATCCATCCACGAATGATTCGTCCCGATTCTGAGATTCCTGCCCTCGCGGAGATCTTACACAATCAGATCTACCCAGCAGCCAGAACATCCACGGGCAGCCAGCCGCCCTCGTGCACTTTTTTGTCCAGAAGCCAGCCCCAGATGTAATCGCAGCGATGGGCATTGGTCTCCTCTGGTGGGGCGCGCGTGTCTCGTTGAACACGGATCTGCATTCTTTTGGTTACTGTCAGGTAGCCACCCTCTTTTTCCACCGCCGTTCCGGCGTACTCTGAGATAACATACATCAAAGGTGTAGGGTCATCCTTGTCCTCCAACGTGTCCCTCCAGACTCTCATGTAGAGCTCGAGTGATGCTTGCAACTCGTGAGTCATAGCCGACTGGGTCTTCTTTCCATTGATCGCCAGGATGATGTCTCCCTTTTTCAGGGTTTGGTCCTGTATCTCCGAAACGCGGTATCTGCGCAGCACCTCGTTCTGACGCTGGGCGCTGTAGAGGACATCCGTCACCTCAAAACCGACGAAGGAATTATCGGTGCGGCAGATTGGTCTGTAGTGTAGCCCGACTGTCTCGTCCGCACTGCGACGCAGCTCAAACGGAAACTCAAAACTCGCCTTCTTCTCACCATTGGCGTTTGCAGACATGCCTCTGGGCTATGGTTAAAGTGTGTTAGAGTGACAGCCACATCAAGCTACGGCTGAAGTTCTGTTGTTGCGTGAGTTGTGGTGGCAACTCCTTGTGCCATGGGGAAGCAAGGCATGCTTGCAGAAGCCTGAGCCTCGTCGGCTGTGCCGACATCTGACATAATCTGACTCTTCTACAGTAGAGCCCTGGCCTACGCTTCGGCAAAAACAGATCTGGGGTGCCCAGCCCGGAGAGCTCGGCATCCAGGGATGCCTTCGCCTCGGCTTTTTGGCCCCAAAGCCCCAGAGACTTCGAGACCTCCAGGCCTAGGGAGTTTCTGTAGGACCCGTCATTGAAAGCTCTAGGAGAACCTCATAGCTTGCCTCGGAAGGTTGGCCGAGGCGTAGCCTGCACTAGGATTGCTGTTGGCTCCTGCCACACCCTCTCCAGTCCCCTCAAACCGTCACGGAGTCAATGCTAGAGGCTGTTGAAAATCAGGGCTAAGGGTCTATGCCCAGGGCCAGCTGTTCGGAGCTTCACCTCGACTGCTAGATGCTTCATCCTGAAGCTGCAGTGAGCAGCGGGCGTTGGGAAAACCTGCGCACTCCGAAGGATCATAGCCCGTCGGCTGGGACTACCCGTTAACGTTACTCCAGAGGGGTCATGAGAGCGCTGAGAACCGGAGTCCAGAAACCAAGGCTCCGACAATTTCTGGGCCCTGCGACCTGACTGGCGGCTTCTCGCACGTGAACCCGTCTGCTTGGGGAGAGTCCATGCTCGCGTGACTACAGCCATGACCTGCATCTCATCGCAGGCGTGTGTCGACTCTCGCATGGGAATTTTGAGAATCCAGCTGGAAGATCTGTAGTAGCTTGGATGCCGCCTCCTCAGAAGCTCTTCAGGACGAGGCAGCAGGTCACGGCTTCGACTTCACAGGCCAGCAGAACAGCTCCGAATAGACAGGGCAGCCCCCAAAAAGGCCACCAACATGCTGAGAAGTGAAGCTGGCGAGCTCGGAAGCTCGAACCCGGACAGCCTAGTAGGCATACACACATGCAGCAGCAGGCTGCGGATCTGCGCTTCTGCATGCGAACAGCCATGGCATGGCATGGCAAACATAGACAACTTTGCAGCGCGACACAAGATGCGACAGGTCCCTGACGTGTGCAAAGAAAGACCTACAAGTACCCAGTCATGGCGCCCCACGGCCAGGCCGCTTGCCGCCTCTGGCGACAGAAGCGGTGCGTAGGGCGAGACCTCGGATTGACGAAAAGCGACGGCATTGCAAGCCGCGAGCTGCCTTCGGCGATTCGGGAAGCTTAGCCGCAAGGGCTGATGTAAGTCCCGAGCTTGTTGGCGCCTCTGCTGCCTTCGCAGGCAATGATGCGAGGGAATGCCAAGGTTCGAGGTGCGAGTCGCCAGGATGGACGGCCAACACGGATAAAGTATGTTATCGTAAACTACTACGTCTTGGAACTACAATACCATATAATACCACATATTACAATGCGACAGAATATGAAATAATGTGACTTATAGTATCTTGTAGTATCTTATAGCATGGCATGGCCTGGCATAGTCGTGCTTTAGCTATGTTAAACAATGTCACGGTATGTAGTATGTTATGGCATATATATAGTGTAGTCAGTCTAGTACAGCAAATCATCGCACAGCATAGAACAGTCTAGTATAGTATAGCATCATCAAGTATAGCATGGGATGGTGGAGGAAAAGTGTAGCCTAGCACTGAATAGAATAGAATAGCATGGTATAGCATAGTCCGGTATAGTACCGTATCGTATCATACAGCATAGTATAGTATAGCATATCAAAGTATAGTATAGCATAGTACAGTATAGTATAGTATGGTATAGTATAGTATAATATAGTATAGTATGCCCAGTGCAGCATAGCATAGCATAGTATACTACGTATAGTGCATGGAAAAAGTATAGTACACAATAGCATAAAAGTATAGTGTGTAGCATAGCATGATACCATATATTATGATACCGCATAGAGCACCATACAGTATCAGCATCATAGTGGGTAGAGCGAGAATAATACAATACCCGAGCTAGGCTTGAAGGGCGTCTGTAAGTTGAAGCTCGTCACATCGCGCACACACGGGAAGCAAGCAGGGGTTCCAATCCACCCTGTCTCTCGTTCGCCTTGCATCTCAAAGAGCTTCTAGGTGATGCAGTCATAGATGGCAGATGGCGGGAATGGCGGGAGCGGGGCCATGGATGCTGGTGCATGGCACGCGATGTTGACATTTTCAAACCTGCTGTTGAAGCTAGCTCCGGCATCCAGTGTCGGAGCCTCTGCCTTCTCAGCCTGTCATTTCCAGTTTGCACTGTATATGACCACATGCGTCTCATCGGCGTAATCGAGGACTGGACTGCCGGTCTATACACAGCACTGCAACAAAGAGAAGCGTGTGGCTAGGAGGTTGCGATGGCTGCGCGGGACAGGACAGGCACGAGTACTTGACGCTGCACCATAACCCAGCAGCTTTAAGACACTCCTCAAGCACGTCAAACTCAACATGATGCCTCGACAGGTAGCGGGACTGCTCCAGGTCGTGCCGAAGCTTCCACTCGCTTCCAACATCGCCCTGATCTACGGACTGGCCCGCAAATGATGGTTGCAGAGGATGACACAGGTATGCAATGTCAGCAATAAACATGCACAGCGAGATAGAATGCGGGCGTGGCCTCTGAGACACTGTTGGAGGGCCGCCCAGTCTCCCAGGACAAAGGATCTAGGCGAGTGAACGGCAGTGTCCGCAGTTCGCAGGACCGACGATCATCGCACGCACCAAGGTCCAAACTTGGCATGCCGGGACGCCGCCGCACCCAGTGAATGTGCTCGAGCCTGCCCAGGACGGACGGAGCCAAACTCCACTGAGCAGCAGTGCCAGGGTTCCCAGCCACTTGAAAGCTCGGTCATAGCGGCCGCGCCACAGCCTCGGGTGCGAGAGCTCCGTCCGACGGCTGAAGGATCCTATGCCTATGAGCTGAGAAGCGACAGGCCGGAGATCATTGTGCCACAGTGCAGGAGAGCCTCGCTTCCGATGGGCGAGCTAGCCACGGTGTGTCAGGCGCAGGAGGGAGAGGGAGAGAGGGAGGGAGAGAGAGAGAGCCCTGAAAGAGGCGCCTGAGGGCCGTGCGCGACCAGAGTCCGAATCCAAGAGAGTCCCAGCCTCAGCTCTGGAAGGAGGCGCTGCAAGAGCTCTCGTAAAGCCCCCATTTGCACTGAGAGGACACGATGGTCACTGCAGCGCTGCAGCGCGCGCGCTGGATCCATGCGGCCTGGGCAAAAAGAGCACTCTCAGCTCTGCTCTGCTCTGCTCCTTTCCTTTGGAGCTGCTCAGGCTTCACCCGGCTCGTCTGTATGGTGGAAATAAGGAGCAGAGTTTCTGAGAGCTGGGCCGTCAATGAAGTCATTCCTTAGATTTTGCTGACTCATGCCCCTGTGATCGCTTGTCGGCATCGCAACATCTCACCCTGTAACAGCCAAGTCACAATAGATAGGACCTTGCTCGCTGGCAGTTCGAGGTCGCAGCATCTGTGCTCGAACAAGAAAGGGAATCGGCTATGCCGGACAAGCCGCGAATAGAAGTGGGAGTCGCCATAGATGGTCATTGGCTGCTGCTCCGGCACCAACATGCAATGCTCCTGAACACGTTCCATCTTCTTGACCATTTATGGCTGCCGAAGGCAAAGGACGACAAAAGCTCGCTGACCTGCGGTTTCGGCTCCAACTGATGTGCACCTGACCATTGGCAGCTTCAAAGCCCAAGAGATCTAGTGGCGATGGCGGCTGAGAAGATATTCTGGGTGAGAGGCAGCAATGCCGAATGTACTGCTGGTCTTCCCGGTCGATCTGAGCTGCTTTGAGTTCAGCGCCAAGCTATGTGCCTCGACATGTGCCAAGCCTTGTGCTCTTTGGTCTTCACACAGCTCTCCGCGAGGCCACAGTTGCAGGGCAGGTCCTCCCAAGACACAAACTCTCTCGGACCCTCCCCAGCGATCTTAGACACGCAGACTATCTCAGACTCCCAGTCCCAACGCGTGCCGGTGAAGATCTCCAACTTCTCAGAGTAGCCCCAGAAGGACATGCCTCGGGGCGGCCACCGGGACCCTCTGGGCCAAACTCCGGGCATCTCCGGGCTCTCCACAGCAGTTGAAGCCATGAAAACCACAGGCCGCCTCAAGGCTTCCCGCACGGCACGCCATGGCAGCCATCGCAGGCTCGCAGCGACCCGCCTGCCCGGGCGCAGGATCACACTGCGCTCCTCCGGTTCACGCGACAAGGAAGTGCAAAGGTGTTGAAAACTTCGAGGCGTACAGGCTGCAAATGTACCAGCACACCCCGGTCCCTTACCAAAGCGTGACACAAATCGATCGTCGCGGCAAACATTCACCTGCCGACAGGCTAGCGGTCCGAAGCCAGACACGGGTGCCGGCACAGCGGAGCATCATATTTTTCGGCATAATGTTCAATCTTTGCTTCACACTCTTCAGCATTCAGCATTCAGATTCGGGTTACTTTCGCAGAAAAGCGAGGCGTGGTTTCGCAGAAGCTCAATGGAAGTGCGTACCTGTACCTCTGAATCACTGAGAACTTCAACATTTCTCAAGTTCCATCCTGGTGGGGGAACTGCTGGAAGATACAGGTCATGGAATCCCATTCCTTGGGCTGCGGACTTGTCCAGTGGGAAGTGGTGCAACAGATGCACGAAGTGCATCCTCGAACCATGGCTCGGGTCAGGACAGACGCATGAAGCGCCTGCCGCAGGGCATCGCGCACCTCACGCCCAAAAACAGGCCGGACTGCCGGCAAGGGGCCATGGTGAGAGCTTGCAGAAGGGGACCTGCAAGATGTCCTCTGCCACGTGAGCCACCGCGACTGCTTCGGGCGCCACTTGCTGCAACCACTTTGCAGTATCGCCTGGCGGTTCTCAGAGCTCAGAACATACACCCCGATACTCCTCCTTCGCAGCGTGCTTCCTCCTAGTCTCCTCATCTTCCCCACTACGAATTCATGTCAAACCCTTCAGTTGCTGTCCGTGCTCTTCCCCACCTTGGCGTTCCTCGCGTGGCCACGCCTCGAAGCGTCAGTCCGGTGCAAGTTCCACAGGGCTTTGAAGTCTACGCAGAACTGGGCCAACCTTATAGAATTTGGTGGCTGGTAAGTCCGCGAAAGGGGAAACCAATAAGACTGAAAACATCGCAGATCTCGTCTGAGTCTTGTTTACAGAGCACCACTCCAGGCATTTCGGAACTATCTGCAAGAGTGCCGCTGCCGTGCAACTGAGAGCAGGGCTGAAATTGTCGGCAGACTCATCGCGGAGTCCTGCGTATATTCAGTGGAAAGGCCATCACCACCACAAGCCCTGAATCGTAACAAAAACACTCTGATAAGGAACCACGAGCCACCAGATAAGACATGGGAAATGACGGGAAGTTTGCAGCGACACTCAGGAAGTCGGAGAAATGTATGGGCGCAGAGTTGACAGACGGGCGCCGTCTAGATGGTCCAGTGTGATGACGCGTCCTCCACGAGCTGCAGAAACTCGGGCGTCTTCCGCACACCAGACCTCCGGAGAAGGCAGCGAATGCTGCCTCCTCGGAGTGCCACCCTCTGAGGCAGGAGCTCGATCACAAAGCCGACATGCGCATCCAGAAGGTTCTTTGCCTGGACATCGTTCCGCTGCACTCCGTTTGTGGTCCCTTCGAATCGCCCCTAGCAGCCGCAAACAATACAACAAGCACCCCAGTTCGACGGTGCAACCATGTCGCCCAGGAAAAATAATCGAAGGTGCAGTTCCCACCTTTGCGCATTGCCATGCCAGCATTGGGAACCCTCTCTTCTCTACTTCCCTTTGGGCTCGAGCTTTCTGTCTCCCGCTGCACTGTTATGTTCAGGCTCCACGCATAGTACGATGGAGCATTGCGGCCTGTCAAAAGCCAGCCCATCGACCCTCCCTTGCATCCTGAGTCCGCTGGGGTGGTTGCCTGAGGCTCGGGCAGTTCATGGTGTCGGGAAGCACCAGACGTCGCCTCAGTATTTTCGCGACCTGCCAGGCAACCACATCCATTATTGGAGAGATCGCCTTGGTGCAGAGAAGTGCAAGCCTCCACGGCAGCAGACAAGGCGGAAAAGTCGCCTTGCAGGCTTTGGCCACCGGGATGGTCGTACGTGAGGAACCTCTCAGGGACAGGGAAGCGTGTGCCTGGCCATCCTGGCTGAAGCCTTGGCTCCAAGCCGGACTGAGGAATTGATGCGTTCGTGCCAATCGTCCAGGAACCAAACCTCGGCTGGAAGGCTCAAGTCGAAAGAAGCAATGCCCTGAACGTCCCTGAACCCTCCCCGCAAAATGCACATTCTGCGAACTGGCGGGCCTGTCGGTCACGCAAGAAATACTCCTGGCACACAATGGCCAACTGACTGGCATCATCGCGATTTCGCCGATTTGGGCCGTGCCTTCGGGTCGGCGCCATTGACATGCGCCACAGCCGGGAGCCGACCAATCTGAGTCCCACAGGCCCAGGCGCCGACAATCCCCATCTTCTGGGTCTGGATCATTGTGGGTGAGCATATGGTATACGGGCTAGCGGGAATCGTTTCGTTGCCAGAAACTCCCTGTCACCATTCCCCAATGGCCCGCGATGGTCCTTTGGCTTTATGCTCCCAATGCAAGCATTGAAATTATGACCGAGAACAAAAAGCACTTGCAGTGAACTGCCGTTCGACGAGACCAAATCCAGCAAATCACCCAGAGGCCCACGTCACAATCGAAATCCATATAGTAGCTTACAAATTGCAACAGTAAACGTTTACTGTGTGAAACTGCGAATCGAAGTTGGACAACACATGAATCCACATGATGTCTTTCATCCAGAATTGTGATGCTATGCCATATGGGAGCACTACTCAAGCAGAGCCTGCCACTGCCAGGAGCAGCGACAAGTCTTCAGAAACCACACGCGAAGACTCTGCAACGCAGACAATATCTTGATGGCCGGATGCAACGCAACGACGATGTCAGTAAATTAAATGCCTCTCAGTACGCTTCCTGCATGTCTCGCAACTACGTTCCCAGCAACCACTGTTAGCTGGTTGCAGTATCGCCAGGGGCAAGACGACGCGCATTGGTAACACCGTGTTTCTGGATTGTACCGACATTACGATTCGGGGTCTTGTCTTCCAGACATGTATGTTCACGAGTAGGGCCAAGCTCAGCATTGGTTGGTGACCAACCTTTCAACCCTTACTTCATGGCATGGATGAAAAAATTCTCTTTGCAATTCTATGGCTTCGCAAATCAAGCTCAGACGAGTGGGCATGGTGTCCGTCCTGAACATATCATCAAAACCTGTCGAAGGCCAACAACTCCCGAACCGATACTTCGGATTCTGAGCACACGGACGCGGCGGGTGTCTTGTAGAGTGGAGGCTGCCACTGTAGCTGCTGTGTCTCCATTTTTGTAGACATGCAACTGTGTCGTAGCAAGCTCCCACGAGCGTGAGGTGGGAGGAACAAAGACATCTCCCCACAACCAACACTGCAAAGCTTGGCCCGCCTTTGGGTCAAGCAAGTGCGCTCTGCGCCAGAAGAAGTTCATGCCGTGTGCGATTCGTGCTGGGTCCTGCCGGCTGCAGATATGTTTGTCCCCTGGGAGCCAGGAGCGAAAATTGAGGACACTGCCAAGATCCGAATGGAAGCCTGCACGGCTGTGCAGGTTCAAAATTGGATCTCCACAGACCTGCTGTACTCTGCCTGTCGCCATGGCCAGGCAGGCACAATGCTTTGTCGCCGTCCGAAGACCTTGTCATCGTAGCGCCCAACCTGTTCAGGCCAGGGCTGCTGGGCAATAGCATTCGCAACGCCGAACACCACTCTCAGACCGCCACAACTAAAGGGACATCAGCGTTCATGCGCCGCACCTCAGCAAAAGTTACTCACACTTCACTTAAAAGCTTCGGATGATCTTTGGCATCCTGGCCGCCTGGGACCCTTGCGATGAAGTGGTTAAAGACGCGCTGATCCTCAGGGGCAAGTCGTCTCTCCAGCCCGCACGACTAGCCTTGGCATGGCTTGCTCGTGATGCTTGAGGGGATGGCCATACCGTCGCGTCGCACACCTGGTGAGTGCAGCTTGAGACAAGCTAAACTGCAACTTAAGCGTGTTTCAATCACTTTGCCCAGTTCTTGGTTGACGAGTAGGGAGGCTCTGGGCGAACTTGTCTTGCAAGACATGTGGCAGCTTCCTTGGGCAGCATCCCGGTGCAAACAGCTTAAGACTTAAGACCGATATGACTATCAAACTGATTCGACACCATGCTGCGCACCTCCCTGCTCTGATTGCCAATTCTCGTCCAAGAAGTCCGCAATAAGAAACCCTCGGCATCTGGAATCCCGAGAGAGAAAAAATGTCACTGCTACCCGGTTTGCTGAAGATTCTGCTAAGCCACGTATTGGCCGAGTCGGCTTGACAAGCACGAAACCAGTATTGATGTGGTCCTCCACAGGGCAGCAGCAGTGGCGATGAGAGTCATCCCAATATCACCGCGTGGTCTTCACACTGTCATGTTTCATGCTTGCGTCGATTTGCCCCAGCCGAGCGAGCCTCCACACGCACCCAGGGCTCCCAAAGGTGCGTCGCCGGGAAAAAGTGGTCGGTCATCACCTCCCAGCTCTTGCAAGATCACCCGCTTCGACTAGCTGAAAGCTGCCGCGTCAGTGGACCGGAGGAAACCAATCGGATCGCTAGGTAACACCGCCAGAATCCGCCAGTTCAGGTGCATTAACCGGACAAGGTCAGCTCAGGCCAAGCTGCCTCCATGTCGGCGTCCCCGAAGAATTCCTACAAGCACATCATTGCAGATTGAGTTGAGACTGTCGCAAGTTTGAAGGGTCCTGGCTAGTATAATGCCTGTTTGACCCAAGCAAGAGACTGCGTGCTGGAACCTAGTCCTGAACTGCTTTGCTCTTGCTACGCAGCGACAATGCCTGGTTTCCTGCAAGTTTGTCAGCCTTTGTCGGGTCACCCAAGAAGACGATGTCAGCGTCCACCACAAGCACGCTCAGCCCAAAATCTGTAAGCGTGAGCATCAAGTACCATCCTCAGCGCAGACATCACCACGGCACCACGTCATCCTCCAAGAGTTCAGCAGAAAGACCCGTGCATGCTACCGCAATTGCCAAGCCGCGCATCTTCCAAATGTCATCTTTCAGATCATCCTTCGAGCGGCATGGGCCAGCCTGATTTCGGTGCGTCAAAACGACTAGAAAAGCAGCAAGTCTTTGCACATTTTGCATCAGTCTAGCAATCCCTGTCACGGCAAGAAACCATCCGTTTCAAGATCCCTGCAAGCCGCACCTCGCACAGCACCGAGTTGAAACCGTACTCCTGCATGACCTGGAGACGAACTGACTCCCTTCTGCTCCGATCTGTTTCACGAGAACGGCTCGGAACATCTCGAATTCTGCTCGCACGCCTTCCGCGGCAACCCTTGTGACTGACAAAGACCTAAGAAGTCCTCACAGCGATAGACCCATGATAGGACCGATAGAACGGCTTAACTTCCAGCAGAGCGAAGGAGCAGAAGATGCGGTAGCACAAGACACGAAGTACGTCAGTGAAGTACCATGCTCCCCATGCTCAGCTGTCCATGCAGGATAGGCATATGCAGCCGTCAGGCACATCCTACAAAAAGTCCTCGCGTTTCTGGGTCTGTTGTTTCTGCGTGTAGACAAGCCCCACGAAGGGCTCGCAGCATAATCGGCACCTTCTCTTTGAAAGTGCCGAAGCCCATTATCTAGACAATGAAGCCAAGCCCTGAATTTCATGGCCATGCAAGCATGAAGCGATGCACGTAACAAGGGCAATGCCGCGCCGCTACCGAAGGGCTCCGAAACTACACGATGCAAGCACCCAGCAACTCCAGACTGTGGCTGCCGAAACAGATGGGCTGACTACACGTGCTAGACAGGCGTTGTGGTCAGAATCCCCAAGAGAAGGAAAGACCATTCGTGCTGGTAATTCATCTGACAAGGGGCAACAAGATTACACCGCCACAGTTCAGGCAATCAGATTGAAGCTGCTACCATCCTCGCTGAAAGGATGTCAAAGCAATGCGCTCGACCGAACAGGGGACTGGTTCGATACCCTCGTACGGTCTCAGCTCACCTTAGGCCAGGGGCACCTTGTGGGCGACTGCATCCATGGAGATGTAAGCGAAACGACGCTCCAGGTGTGGAGCCTCGGCGAAAGGCCAAAGCCCGAAAGTTAAGCCTCGGAGGGGCCATTCAATACTGCATAAGGCCATCGCGTGCTTGCGAATAGACAGCGCCAAATTGACCGCAATGGCTGTGCGGCTGCCTTTCTCACCTCGAGCCAGTGCGGTCTCAAGTAGCAGCACAGTTTCATTCAGCCACGGGGCCAGCAGAAGCAACCACAAGCAACAAGGATGCTGCCACGCCGCTTCCTAGAGTGCATGATCATATCGATCTTCGACCAGCTGGTCATGTCTAGATCAATTCTAGATCGTCCAAACATGCGCACATGGCCTCCGGGCATCCAGCTGCACTTTGCCCTACAGACGCAGGTTCCCAAACCACACATGTGTGGTGTTCAAAACCCTGTCATGCTGTTCTCAGAAGATCATGCTAGCGCCGAAGCTACGGAGAATCTGACACGTGGGCATTTTCGGCATTCACTGACCCGAGCACTGGCGCGCCACTAGCACAGGATTTCGGATTTGCTGCTGGGGCGCTTGGATCTGCCGGCGCGCCCGTTGTCCAGCTGAGGAGCACCAGCTTCTCGGGGCCTGGCGCCATGGCGGAGGCGGCGGAGCAGACAGCAGGGTCGCAGAAGCTCGCATTGCCGGCTCTGAGCCTGCGCTTTCACTGTCACAAAGAGCCTGGCCTGCGATTTCTTCGAGATATCGTCTCGGCAGTGGCAGCAGCATCCTGCAGGGCTGCAGGGCACCCGACGCGCGTACAAGGGGGGCCCTGACAGGGACCCGGGTGCATCCTCGCTGCTTTTTCCAGAACCATGCGACTGCGCTGCGCTTCGGGCTGGAGCGAGCTGGATGCCACTCTGCCATGGTTTAGACCGTAGGCAAAAGCATCTAATGCAAGACGGCCAGGGAGGATCAGCTGCCCGTGATCGCAGGATATAGAAGTTGATAGCAGCCGATGCCCGGACGTTCGGGCACCCTGAAAAACCGTCACAGGAACCCCTGGGAGGGAGGGGGCGGTGGGGAGCGGGGTGAAACTTCGCCGATCTGGCCACGACGTCCACTTGACTCTCCTACAAAAGTAGCTGTAGCTGGTAGTCTTCCCCTTCGCTGCCTGGAATTCGACATGCCGAGGCCACGACAAAAACCACATGAAGGCACTTGCTGGCCTCTCTCTGACAAAAGGCTTTACTAGGCACTGCACCAAGCATGGCTAGACGCGGCTAAACCTTGACGTCGCATGCGATTGCACGTCACTGATCTGTGCACAATTGTCATTTCACTTGCAACAGGGACACCGCGACAAATTCGATCAATTGCAGTCGCCAACGCTACCTAAAACTACGTGAGCGGTTCACCGCCTCCGAAGACGTCTGGCTTCGGAATAGCAGCACCCACGCGCGAATTCAATCCGTCTGCACAGCGACCACAGATCCGGCAACAGTCGCGAAACACAGAGTTGCAAGACAGGTTTATGCATGCGGATCTTGCTTTAATCAGTCTGTGGCACACCGTGCTCAAGTCACTGTGACGACTCGCATCGCGGCGTTGGGATAAGGCCTGCGCGGCACCGCCGACAGTCCTACAGCACATAAGCATGAAGCTGGCCGCTGACGCTTGCTGCTGTTTAGCTTCGCTCTCGCATGCTCTCGCTCACAATGTCTAGGGCCGCGCTTTCGCGCGAGAAGACCCTGTGCTCCCCGATGCTCCCCGAATGCAGAGGTCAAAATGTCGAGATGTCGAGATTAGATCTGAGCTCGGGCCCACCTCTGCAAAGTTTGAGAGAATCCTTTCTGGGTGACCTTATGCTGTACACTTCACCCGGCGCCTGCTGCCTGGCATAGCATGGCTGACCGAAGCAGGCCTTTACGTACCGGTGCTGAAAAATGGCTCACTTTCCGTCCTGCCTGGCCTCTGTGGGGGGGCAGACGAATTAAATTGTCCCTTTGAAAAGCCTGTAAGCGCCCACGCGGAAGGGTGTCTTGCAAATCTGCATTCTGTGCCGGACCAGGGTAGGCGACTTTGGAAGACTCTGGCACAGCCCAATGGGATGAGAGGCCCACACACTGGCCGGGCCACTATAGCAGGGCGAGTCACTGCCACTCACCCCGATTCTACGCAAATCTCCAGCGTAGACTTGAAAGTCCTCACTTCTCCTGCCCATCGCTCTCAGTCTCAGAAGAGCCTTTGCTGGAGATCCGCATGTGGGAGGCGATCCGGCGATCCTCCAGAGCTCAATGACCACTTCGGCTGCACTCAGAAGTTGCGTCAACGGGCCCTACACAGTCCCTGGGGTAGGTGTAGTGTCCCACGCCATAGAACATGAAGCCTTTGTGCTGGCAGACTCAGACTCAAAACTCCCACGCGTTGAAAGCCTTGCGAGAAAGACGAAAGCCATGCAAGCACCTGAAAGCACAAATGCTGCCGCGAAGCACACGGAAAAGGCCACAGCTGAGACTAGGAAAATTCCCTTGGCCAGCTTCATGGCATCGTCTGGAGAACAATCCTTCCGGTAGCCCAGGAAGCTCCCCAAAAACATCTCCGACCGAGCCAGGCATACTCACTCGAATCACTTGCTCCGCCGACGTCCTGTGAGTTGGCTGTCTCTGCATTGAAATGGAAGATTTCATCCTCAGGTCAGAATTCAAGCTGGCACCAGCACGCGGTAGTAGCATTGCACATGTGAATTGGCGCGTTCGTGTTCATGCGCCCCATCATTTTTCCTACCTTTACACTTCCACAACGTTTAAGGTTTACCTCAGTCCCTTTTGCATCCAGGACTCTCGCAACCAGCCGGGAAACTCCACAAGACAGCAAACCCTCAGTCCCTGGAACCCGAATCCCTCAGCAAGTGCAGCTTCAAGATTTTTGCTTCTTGTGAAAAACGACGGTCCCGCTGTGGGGAAATGCGCGAAATCCTAAAGCGAGCGACGTTTGATAGGCTGCACGTGTGCAGAACTGAGGCTTGAGAATCTCCACACTGGGGTGATGTGAATTCTCGCGGGCTGAGTGAAAGAAAACTCAGCACGAGTCGGTAGTCAGCAGCAACGTGCCTTCGAGACACTTTTCGTTTTTCTGCGTCTTTGATAACGACGGCTGCTCGCATGCTCGGGGGATTCGGTTCTTTGCTACCCAAAGAAGGCATTGAATGTGTTGAAACTTCGGTTTCTCCACATTTCAGCTTCCCCGCTTCAAGTTGCATGTCCACGAGAATTCAATGGCAACCATACTTTTCGATGAAACCTTTTTCTCCAAGTGTCCGTAAGCCAGCCAACAATCGGTTGGCCCAGGGCTCCCAGGGTGCCTTCGCGGATCCGAGGCTACGACCAGAACGGAACGGTGCCCCCCAGACCCAGAGGCACCCCTGGCCTTCGACTGCCCGGTCCAGGGCAAACACATAGCTGTAGGCCTCTTTGGGGACGATGTCGCTGAACATCTTGTTGTTCATCACCATGCACCAAGAAATCAAGGTGCCGGTCAGCATGAAAATCATGGCGAAGACTATGAAGGTACCAGGGCTCTTGTGGTCCAAGCCGCCTCAATAGACACAACCATACATGAAAAGCTACGCTCAAACCTGTGTCGGACAATCTTCAGCAAGGGTGCCGAGGCCAAACAGGATCGTGGCGAAGAGCGGCAAGGAGAGGAAGACTGCCACTTGTGCAATTCCTCTGAACAGCATCGGGTCTTTCCGACAACTTTGAACAGCATCAGCTCACTGGCGTCCTGGTGGACCGTGATCCGGGAAGCGCCGCGCAACGATGTCCAAAAGCACACCTGCAGGACCGGTCGCCGAACACGTGGCTCTGCCTGTAGCAGTGCCGCGTTGCTCTGCCTCCCACAATCCCAGAGAGGGCCCCTCCGATGTTGAAGCAGGCAATGATGGCCGCAGCCTTGCCCAGAAGGTCTCAAGGTCACAGCTGTAACGCGAGGAGGCTCTCGGGCCTGCGAATGCGGGAAACAGTTCAGCTCCAGCCACATGGTGAGATAGCTGAAAGCAAACCACGGCGCAGTACCAAAGACTCCTTTGGGACAGAGGTTCAGACAAACTTCTTGTAGGCTTGCAAAAAAGCGCATTCCTTGGCCGATGATGATGATGAAGGTTGGGAGGCAGACGATGTGCCGAAGCTTCGGCCTCGAGTCTTGGGCGCCAGCATCGGCCCAGGCCCGGCTCTGGGGAGGGCACGTCTCTTCGCAAACGATGGCCATCATGCTCCGGGGGTCCCTCTCGCGCTGGTCGTCAACCTGCACTTGTCCGGCGAAGAAGAGCAGGCACTTCCAGCGCTGATCCTCCCCTGCCGCGCCAGAAGCACGCAGAGAGTGCCCACAACTGCACTGAGAACGGCCACGATCAGCAAAGCAAACCTGGAACTCACTAGGTTGGGATGAGGGGCGGCTTGACAACAGCTGACCCGGTACTATGCAACTGGTGACGTCAGACGAGGCTCTGCCATCCAGCAATCGACATAATCTGATAAGTCGCAATGCCGGTGGCCAGAGCCGTGAAGGCCTCAGAACTCGGCTTAAGTTGGGGTGCAAGGTTCTCCACCCTTCGCCAGGCGGTCAAGGCTCTGTTTGCCCCACGTTTCCAGAAAACTGCAAGAAGCCGAAGGCTTTGCCACGACCTGTCAGGAACTAAGCCATGAAGACTTCTACCAAAGAGGAAGTGGCGACGATCTCTTGCATATGCTCTCCTTCTCAGCTCTTCTCAGCTTCCTGCCATGCGCTTCGCTCTTGTCAGCGACTAAGCTGAACAGCAGCGGCTGCACGATGCCCAAGCCGACACCGTTGAGAGCCTCGGGATGCACAGGCACAGGAAGAGCGCAGCGACGAGGCTCTCCGCTTCTGCCAGGCGACTCTGAAGAAGATCATCCAGGAGAGGCTTGGGGAGAAGGTGACCCCGACCAGTGCGGCGGCCCAGACCACCGCCCCGAGCCACACCAGCAGCGGCCTTGGCCTCAGAGAGCGCCCCCCCTCCACTCAGACATACTCAGCTCTGAAAACCTCCAAAGGGCGCCGGACAGCTTGTCGGCCAGGAAGCCCGAGGGGAGAGCAAAGACCCTGAGCACGCGAGGCAGAATTAAAGACTTCCTCGTCCCATCCGGTTGTTCCTTCAAAGAAGCAGGCTTCAACATTGAATTGGCCGTAGCGGTTTTTGACGACACCCTACGAAACGGAATCTAAACGTTAGTACACCGGCATCGCTTTGAGCAATCACGAAGCGATCCAGCAAGCTCCGCAAATCGCATAAGAAGAAGGCCGATAGATGCATGTAAATTCCGAGAACTATCCGCCACCAGTTGCAGCACTTGCAGTTGGCATTGAGGATTAGGCTAAACGAACGGGCCCAACAGCAAGAACATCGGAAAGCCCAGCTCGCCTGCAGGCACCCTTATCATCTCTTCTCAGTGACTTATCAGCGATCACCTCCACCTTTGCACCTTCGCCTCTGCGCGAAACTCCCGCACAGCAGTGGTTGACCGAATGAAAAGCTCAGCGACATCGGCCCGACATCCCTAGAAGGACCTCAAACACCACAACCTCAACCCAACCTAACCCAACTGCGTCAAAGTGTCGACTCGAAGATGCCCCGCACCAGGCCCAGGGAGGCCAAGTCCTCCCGGGCGCACGGAGCCGCTGAGGGGGGAAGGAGGGGATTGGAGCATCGCTGAAAACTTCCGGGGGTCCCCCGGCGAGGCGTTGAAGTGTCTGGCAATCTCCTTGGCTGACATCTCGTCTGTCGGTGTCGGCTTTTGGGCCTTCTTTGAGCTGAAACTGGTGTGACCCAACCGGCGAGCCGCGAGCACTGAACTGTCTCTGGAAGGGGTGAGATAGCGGCGTTCCACAAAGTAGGGGTCTGCCCGGACAATTCCCTGAATGGAGATTGCAGACGGAGAACAAGCAACGAGTGTTCTGGCTCGCAAACAAGCGCGCCGAAGGTGAGCGAACAGGACAACGTGGGAGTTCTCGGGACGTCTCCAGCCGGCAACATCTGGAGTTTCCGCTTTTGAATTTAGCCCAGAAGAAGGAATCTGCACCAAGCGCCGTAAGCCTTTGAAGCTGCCTTGCGGCCTGGCGGTCTTGATTACTTACGACTAGTATAACCCGTCGAACCGAAGGCTTTTTGCAATCGTCGTCCCAGCGGCGGTGTAAACAGCAGGCAGAACCCAGTTGTCAGTGTTCCACATGATCATGACCTGGATCCAGCTGACAACACAGGGAGGACATGCGGCGTGCTGAAGCTACACACCGCTCAGCCCATGGCCAGGTTGAGAACTATCATTTCCATGAGCCACCGGCGCCATGGAGTCTGGGAATCCTGAGATCAGAGTGCTGTAACTGTAAGGCTGTAACCCCCACTGCTACCACAGAATGTATAGATACATATACAAATACATACACATACACGTACATAAACGCATACATCCATACATGCATACAGAGAGAGCGAGAGCGAGAGAGAGAGAGAGAGAAAAATGTTTTCTAGCAGTGCACCTGCGTCTCCAAAGACTCCGAACCCGACTCCATCGCGTGAGCTTCGGCCTGTCTCAAGCGCTGAAGATAGAAAAATAGGGGGGGTTCTGGGTGTACTACACTGCGTTGGGTTTCGGCGATCACACACGGACACTCCAGGCGAGGCATGCGGTTCGAGGTCTGCAAAGAAGTGAAACCCATGATCGAGTATAAGACCCGGAAACAGGCAAATCCATAAAAGTACAACCTCTCATGTTCAACTCGTTGAAATCCAATTGTCTCATCTAGACTAGTTCTGGACTTCAACGACTACAGGTTGAGATCGCTTCAACGGTGAGTCGGGAGTTTCATTTAGAGTTTTTCCACCCGCCCAGAGTTTGGAGTTTAGGTTCCATAGGTGCAGGTCGGCGTGACACAAACAGGAGGTATGTTTGCCCAGTACTATGCAAGAAGGGCAAACAGGAATAAAAGTAACATACCAACAGGCGCAAGAGTAAGATAATTAGCAGTGTACATGCAAGACAGCAGGTCTGAAATGAGTCTTCACGGTAGGCTGAGTCCTGCACGTTCAAGCCTTCCGAGAGATGAAAAAGTTAAATCCAGAGTTTGGAGTTGTTTGCTTAGGGTTTAGGGTTTCCATAATATCTCTATACTGTATATTTAATCTAGGAACCCTAAAGAATTGGATTGGGAATGATGTAGAAGATAGAAAGATTGGGCTCTCGCTCACTGTGTACTATAGATCCCTACCATGGTACCTTATCTTAATTTCCTCAACAAGAACCCAAAGTAGAAACCCAGTGACGGCTGACCAAAACTCCGGCCTTCTCTACGGGCAATGCAGACATGCACGGGCCTTTCACTGTCATGTCTAAGTCTAAGCTCCTCTCTCAGGAGCACCAAAAAATCTCGTCACTTCTCACTGCTTGAGCCAGAAGGCCACCAGAGCTCGCTCCGCAGATCGCGACTGTGGAGGACAGCTGACAGATAGGCCGGGACAGAGACATGCCTGGCAGCGAAACCAAGGCCTGTGGCATCACGCCTCCATTGAGGCCTTTTTTTTGACCAGGGCCGCATCACGCCGCCTTGAAAACAGCTTGGGAACTTTGGTTCAAATATAGCACAAACGGTGGACCAGCCTCTACAAACTTGGAGAAGAAGTCTTTGAATTCCTGCAAATCCACCTGCATCCACAAACACTTTCGGAGGCAGAATCGCGTGCGCACACACACACACACAATGCAAGGCGTTTGCATTTCAACGTAACTTTCCCTTCCTGCCCGTCACCGTTGGTATCGGCTCTCCACCACAGAGCTCCGATCTGCGTCTGCGTGACATCGGGAACATGTGTCAGCAGAAAGTTTGTAAAAACCTGAGCTCGCAAGCATGTGACAACACGACACAATGTCCCGACAGCTTCCAGCGAATGGCTCCTCTGCAGCTTTAACATGCACATGCCATTCGCTGCCTTCCGTTTGGAGCTTGGTCTTTGTTTCAACCATGTTCTTGAAGCATTTGTTGCGGTGGGGGTCGCTCTCCATTACAAAACTGCGACACCTTGGTCGCCCCTCTCAGCGCCCCTCTCAGATTCAAACGTGAAGTCTGCTTGTTGTCCTGCACCATATACATGTGGCAGTCAAAACACAGATAAACGTAACACATCTTCGAGCGCGTGCTGCTCTGCTTCTGCTCTGCCTTTCCTCCGTTGGGTGTGTTTTAAGACAAGCAGGGGTTAACGCCAAAGCCACCCCGTGCTGTCCCAGCGGCGCTCAACTGGGCTTCTCACATGGCTTCCGTCTGGCTTTCATGCTTCTGGCCCTGTTCTGATCCGCGAGTCTCAACAAAGGCTTTTCCCTGGCGCCGGCCCAAGCCATCCCTTCAGCCAAGGGGCTGCATTAGTTTTGTTTACAAGGGTAAGAGCTGGGAGCGACCTCCACCCATATGGTATGGGGATGTGTCTTGGGAATTGGCTGCTTGTGTTTACTTGCATTGTCTTGAATTGTGACATTTCTGAGGGGTGCTTCCCTTTTCAGCTCAAGTTGCTGAGTCGGCGAACCAATCCAATATTCTCTGTCTTCTTCCACACAGCCAAAGGACAGCACTCCAGCACTGCCCTTGCGCATAGATCCGGACTGGTCATGAGGAACGGGTGATACTGACATTTCATCATGAGGCTTGGTTAGGAACCGTCGGTGACCCGCCTGAACCCCCTGAACTTTAGCAAAGCCCCTGCATCCCCGCTGTCTCCCCCCTGTGAGGGGCTACCGTGCTGCCCACTGTATTTCGTGGTCAAAATGGACTCCTCTGCTCTGGGAGTTCCAAACAACTATTCTCTCTCTCTCTCCCTTTCCGTCCCTCTGAATCTGCGAGGCACAAGTGGGGAGATGGCGCCAGGCCCATTCCAGCCACCCAGGTTGCGAAACAAGGCCGCAGGAGTCTCCTTGTTCGATTTCTTGACCTTTCCGGCAGCGCAAAACGAAAGCTGAAGATCGGAGACTCCGCCGGCAGGCCTTCTTCAAGATGGTCTGCAGCTGCTGCTCGAGAGGGACAGCCTGAAGATCGGCCCAGGAGCTCAGAAGCCCCAGGATGCTCGCAACGCGGAATGAGCATGGGCGAACATCAGAGGCCCCTGCAGGAGCAGACTTGGCGTTTGCTGTGTTGGCTGCTTTCGCCGCCGAGGCTGTGTTGAGCGAGAGCTTCCTGAGCTTCGTGACTTTTGTGTAAGTGGGGCGGGGGGACAACAGAGAAGGGCTAGCGGCTAGCCCATCAATCACCACCGACAATTGCAGCATAAGCAAAATGCCACACAAGTACTCCTCTTCGCAAACGACACTGATAGATAGTGTCTCGTATTCTATGTGCCGGATGAATCCGCCGTGGCACTTGCTGAGCGACGTCAACATCCTGTCAGGGACAAGGACAAAAAGTGTTCATCAACAATCAACTTCCGAGATCCAGCCAACACGCCCCCAAAGCGACTGAAGCATGCCAGCTCACATGCACGGCAAGATTGTCAGAGTCCTGGTGGCAGCTTTGCCCCTGTCTGTGTTGGCATTGTCTGCTGACTTGTAGTCGTTCAAGAACCTGTCGCAGGCGGACAAAGCCCGATTGGGCGCACACGGAACTGAATCAACACGACGATGCATCCTCTGAAGAAAATAGAAGCTAGTGTGTAAGCCGACGAAGAGTGAGCAGCAGGCGACAAGCTAGTGTGCAAAGCAAAGCTTGCCAGAACCCCCAAATCACAACCAAACTCCGTCAATCTTAGCTCTATAGCCACTGCACGCCAGGCAAGTCTGATGCAAAAAATACACCACGGGCCTGTTGGTGGCCCTATCCGCGTGCTGCTGCGCAGCATCCTGGAAGTCCTTGTTGGCCTTGACCTGCACTGAAGTGTCGAGCGATGCACTGGCCGGGCGTAACTCTGACTCTCATACTGTAGGACACTGTAGGAGAAGCGATGGGTCCTTCAGGCACCGTTTTGGAGGCCCTCACAGCCCCATTGATTGTTCACCAACGCACCCAGCCCCCCGGAAGTGCCTCCTCAGAAGGCTTCAGAACTGCTCTATTTGACTCTGGCCTGGTTCAGGCGAAGCTGCATGGCCAGCTTGGCCTTCTTCATATCCTGCACAGGACAACAGTCTGGTCGCAAGGTGCAAGGCCAGGCCAGGCCAGGCCAGGCCTCCTTCGCTTGCAGCAGGTTGGCGGAAGCCGAGAGCCTGAGCCCGAAGCGCCGCAAAAATCAAAAAGCAGGCGAAGGCACAGGGAAAAGCCCAAAGGGGGTTCCGCGATGCCACAGGGGCTGCGCCAAGGTCTTCCATTCAGTCCCAGTGTCTCTTGCCCTGGTTTCTTCTCCGCTGCAGCCGCAGCTGGAACCTTCAGAGGCTCGAAGTCCGAAACTGACAAGCTTGCTTGCTGGGGCGCTGGGGCGCTGCAACGAGAAGAGATGCCCCAAGAATCTGAGGCTCTCACTACGCCCGTCACCGAGGTTTTCTTGGCACTGCCTTTGGCCTTGGCCTTGACGGCAGTCTCCAATCTCTGGACTTCTTCCTCCTTTTTGAAGACAAGGGGACATGTACAAGGCCGGCAGTCAGGAGTTCCAGGCCATGCCCATGTGTCCTTCTGCTTGAGCTCCTCCAGCTCTTTCTTGGTCATCTCCTGAACCTCCCAAGGCGGGAGTGACCGCCGCTCCCGGCAGAGCAGATCCGGGGGAAAAGCAAGCCTTCTTCATCATCTCCTGCGTGAAGGGTGGCACGGCATCCCGAGGGTGGGTACCTGGGCTGATCAAAGGGCGATCTTCTGGAACTCCCAGAGCACTGCCCAGGAATGCTGCCCAGAAGCAAAACAGCTTGTACAGAGTCTCCCGGCTGTGCGCCCGTCCTGAAGCAGGGAGCGGGTCGGCATCCGCAACGTTGCGCGAAGGGCTGAATGACGTGTACGGAGTGCGAACTTCGGGCCGAGAGGCTGTCTTCCAGGTTGGGCTCCTGGGACTCTGGGTCCGGGTTGTCCACGAAGATGAACCTCCCCAAAAGTGACTGCAGTAGCCTGGGAGCTTTTGGCAGTTGCCCGTCGCTTGGGCCTGCTCGGATTGTTCCCAACGATGGAGTAGATGTGCTTGAAGCGCCAGTTAATCTCCACTTGCCGCTGGATCCACTCATCCTTCCAAGGATGCGAGGCTTTCCCTGGCCCACTTTGGGGGGGGGGGGGGGGGATTGCCTGCTGCAAGGATTGAAGGAGGGCAGAGGTCTTCATACCCACCCTCCCGCCCTCCCGTGCGCGAGGTCTCACTGTCTCTCTCGTGCTATCCTCTGGTGTCTCGCAGCCAGGCATACTGCAACAAGACTTTCGGATCTTGCAGGAGGCATCCGGGCATTCGGGGGTTGAAAGGGATTGCTGCCGCAGTTACCGAAAGCCGAATGCAATTGAGCACTTTGGCACCTTTTCCTGCCTCAAGACTGTACCTGGCATGCATCCTGTCAGGAGTCTCTTCGAATCGAGGCCTTTAGACTGAAACCTGCAATGTGAGAGTTAAGCGAACGGGTTGGTGGGCAGAAGGGCAGAAGAAGCAACATGATGTTCCAAGCCGCCATGAAAACATGGAACAGACAAACAAGGAAACAAACATACAAACGATGGCCAAAAGCAGACAGAGTCTGATGAAGCCGAGGCTCTGCATCCTCGCGACTTCGAGCATACTTGCTGGCACAGGTGACGACAATGTACAGGTTCAGGAGGCTGTCCTGTAAGTCTCTGCATGTCCGCGAACTCTTGACTCTTGACACTACACTTGTCGAGATGCATGGCGCAGTTCCGCTCATCCGTCACGCTGCTGACAGGAGCAATGCCATTCTCCCGCGCAAGTCCACGCACTGTTGCACAGAGAAAGCATGCTTGCTCGGGGTATGGGACAGGAGGTCCCCTGGCCCGGAGGCCTACCCCCCACAGCCCGTTCCGGGATGGCCACGATGTCCTCCGGCTAGCTGTCTTTGGCACTTAAAGCATGGCCTAATCCAGCACGCAGGGCTGGGCTTTCTATCGCCAGGGCGAGGGACAAGGGATTGCTCCCCCTGTCCGCGCACGTCGGCGCCCCCGACCGTTGTCGAGGGACAGGGCTGGGCTCTCTCTCTCTCTCTCTCTCTCTCTCTCTCTCTCTCGCTTCAGTTTCTCTCTCTCACATACCGACTCTTCACCTGTCAGTCGCGACGCAGACCGCAGCAGTTTCGCTATGCCAGTACGAATGCTGGCACACCGACAAATGTTTGTGGAAAGTACAACCAATTACGGCATCTACAACGGCCTCGCTCAATCATCTGGATTATGCCCAAAACTACTGGATTAGAGTGTACTGATGCGATACAACGGCAGAGGAACATACAAGTCCAGCGCCCATCGAAGTAGCAAAGAAGTGATCTAATGACTTTGCCAAGCAGCATCCCCCCAAAGATATTCTGTAACGTAGATGAGCCTCGCCTCAGTGTGACTCCGTTGTTGCAAGCAGCTGAAGCCGAAGTGTTTCGCAGTGAGCCGGCATTGGCTGCGTGCGAACCTACAAAGCAGCAGAACAAGCATGGCAGTATCATCATTAGTTGCACATCGTCCTGTCAACAGCTTTCCCTGCAGCTATTGGAGTGGCAGTCTTGATGCATGTTGAGCCATGCAGCAATCGCATCATCCGTGATGCGGGCATTGCGCATCACGTACAGCAGACAGTCCACTCCGTGCCTTGCCAAGACGATAAAACAGAGGCGCCGCAATTGAATCCCGCAATGCCATGCTACCACATCGCAGTCTTCTGCGTCTCTCATGTCTCTCTCCATCCCACGGACTAGCATTGCAAAGGGAGGGGCTTCTAGATGTTGGTCTACCCGAGTTAGCGGATCATCCTCATCGACCTAAGAAATCTCCGCGTAAGACTTGATTTCAGCTCGTCTGGACGGCTGCCCAGCTGCAATGCAGAGAGCGCCACATCCCTGATGCTGGCCACCACCTGCGCTTTCCGGACGATCATGGAGCTATCAAGGGCGTGCTATCCAGTGCTGTTTACGAGTTTAGGGTCGCTGAACAAACCTGGAATCCACATTGAATTGAAACCTCAAGCCACTGGCAGGGCCTTTTCTTGGTCGATTTCCGTATCTCCCAAGCCGATGGTGTCAAGGACGACCAAGGAACCGTCCTCGGCTTCGTACCTCAGTCGGCATCCAGCAGCTCATAAAGTCATAGGCGAAGGTTCTTCTTTGCCTCCCACCTAGCTAGGACGAAGCGCGCATTCGGGCCCAGGTTCGGGGCCCGGGGTTGAGAAACCGTGCAACCATGCAAGGGATGTTGAACTTGCTGCCAGGCTGCTTCATGATAGAATCCAGGTTGGTGATCTCAGTTTGGGGCTTCCATTTTCAACATGTACGGGGTGAGGCTCTCCCATTGAACTTCGAGAATCCGAACTGAACTGCACATGTCGGTTCAGGCAGGCCACACTTGAGGTGTCATCACCTGAAAGAGGCGCTGCACATGCACGCAACCAGAAGCCCTGCGCTCCCCGCCGCACCTGAATCAAAGATTTGCGATCCAGCAATGAGGTTCCCGAGCGCACTCTTGCCGGCTCCAGTCATCCCGAACATCATTACCTGAGCCGACGCGTTGGCGCTTAATTGAGTCCTGGAGTGTTCTGTGCAGGGTCCTCGGAACCAATGGCCCCCCCCACCCCCCAGTGCCCCAGCCCCGAGCTTCCCAGGGCCAAACTCGAACACGTCGAAGCTGAAAGAGGTGACCGACAAAGGAATCACAAGGGAAGTCAGATCCAAAAGCCATACTGATCACAGCACCATGGGATATGTCCGCATGGGGCTTGCCGATCTTGAAAGTTGGCTGCCTGATCGCACGACTGAGACCTCCGATCTGAATGCCGAACTCGTGGGACAGGCAACAGGTTCTCACGGATCTCGCAACCGATCGTCCCAAGGCGTGTCGACGTTTGCATGGGGTGCGCAGGAGCACCTAGCCCAACTTGACATGACAGTCAACACCTGGCACGTGTGCAGGTCCAAAACAATGGCAGGGCTTCGGGCCTGTGGAATTCACGGGAGTTCTAGCCTGGGACACTGCATGCATTCCCCAGGAGAGCCTGGTGCTTGTCACCAAGGCAAGTCGTGTTTCATCGGGAGAACACAGTCCGGCTTCAGAGTCAAAAGGACTTTTGGTTTGCTTCGGGGCTCCGTCGAGTCCGTTGAGCAAGCGCAACATTGCCGTGAAACCCTCCATGGCAACAGGTCGAACATGATTCCGATCCACACATTCTTTGATGATGAGCGAGGCACCGACCAGGAATCCGACAAGGACACGGGTGACATGCGGACCAAACCACGCAAGGGAACGCACTGACCGAAACCGGTGCTTTGCATCATCACTGGCCAGCAGCGAACCACATTCTTGTTTGCGACGACTGCGGCCGATCCCACCTGAGCAACCTGACATACATACATCCGATCCGCCGTTCGAACGCAAAGCTCCCTCCACAGCGCAACCAAAACGAACGTAGCAATTTTACAGGTGCTGGAGGTGGTTTAGGTGCTGGAGGTGGTTTAGGTGGTAGGCGCTGTGGCTGTCGTGGCAGTGGTGACAAGCCGAAGTGATGGACCCGCCTTCCTGCATTTTGGTTGTTCCTTCGCTTCTCCTTCCACTACTGCGACGACCACAGCAACAACAACCACCCCAACCACAACCACTGAAACCACCACGACGATGACGACGACAGCGACGACAGCGACGACGACCACGAACACCACCAGCACCACCACCAACACCACCACCACCATCATCACCACCACCACCACCAGCAGCAGCATCGATCATGACGATCTGGACTAGAAGAGGACGACGGCCCTGACGACTGCGACTCGGACACCACCACTGCTGCTGGTACTCTTGTTGCTCCTGTTCTGCTGCCGCCGCTAAGTCCAAAATGCGGAAACAAACCAAAACGGCAGCAATGGTAATAAGAGCGATTGCATTCCTTATGATTGCAGCTTGTTGCTTAATTTTTCCAATGCATTTTCAAAAGGACGCCGGAAGGGCAACTCAGCGACTCCAGATGACTCCAGTCGACCATCTTGCGGGTGCATCACTCGAAGTCCTGTAGTTTTTGCCCTTTGCAACCAATCCCTTTAAGCCGGAAGATGGATGTGCCCTCTGTGATTCTTAGGGCATGAAAGCACTATTCCAACTTTACGGCAGTTGCTGTGGCACACAACGCACTGAGGTCTCGGCTGTGAGCTTCCCCCCGGGAGGCAGCACCCAAGGCATCTTCCGCTCAACAGCCGGCAAGGCCTTGACCTCCCCTGGCTTCGTCATGAGGAGGACCTGCGGCTCTCTCACTGCACATGCAGACACACACACACATGTACATACGTACATACATTTTTGGCACACATACGTACATAATCATACATACATACATCAGAATACTGGAGGAGAAACTTCCGGATGGTTCAGCTTTGGCTTCGGCAGCCGCTGCAGACATCCTCAGAACGAACGTGCCCATCTACACCGCCTCATGCTTTCGAGTTTCGGTTGTTGGACTCTTCTTTCAAAGAGCCCCAGAAGCTGCACGCCCATGTCGCCAAGTTCCCGAGACTAGTATGAAGAGCTTTAGGCTGTGGCATTATGACCTGTAGGTCGAGCCTGGAAGCTGCAAAAAGCCCGAAACACCTCGACGTTTATTAGTTGCGGCTTGTGAAGAGTCCGGCGACTTTGTCCTGAAACCTCCAAGAATGACGGGCCTTGGCATCCGTTGCGGTGCTGAGTGGTTCCGTCTTCTCCTCTCGGAATCACGCAGCGATCAGATGAAGCCGCGAAGCAGCGCAGGCAGCTGCAGGCACGGTCTCCTGGGCTACGGCCACTTCCCTCTCACCGGGGGCCTCTTCGGCAGCCACATCCTCGAAAGGTCGCGGGTCACGGTGAGCCATTTCTGATCTCAAGCAGCTGTGCATGAGGCGTGCTATGGTAATTTCACGACCTTGCGGAACTGAAGGCGGAGGCCGCTCTGCAGGCGCTCTGGCACTTCGGCCAAGCAAGACCCCAACCCGCACGCTCGGAAGAACCCATCCGTGGGCTCACATCTCCGAGCAGAAATGAGCAGAACACCTCATCACTAAGATGGTGTGCCTTGATCTCGCGGCAGGGGCATCGCTGGCCCATGGCGACCGAAGGAAGGCCCAAGCAATCTGCTGCCAAGACAAAGAAATGACTGTGGTAGGGGTCTCGGACACGATCAGATTCATGGCATGGCCAAGATGGCATACTGCTTTATAACAGTGTGGCTCACGGCTTTGCTTGACTAGGAAGCTTGCTCACTGAAAAGAGCGCGGCTCATTGTCATGTCTCGCTTCTGAGCCACACCAGGTGCGGTGCATCTGCACTCCGGGCAAAGGACTCTCCAGAACTCGGGGACCACACGAAATGCAGGAGGGGTGTTAGGGCTGTTAGGGTTTGGGTGTCGGCTAAGGTTTAAAAGTTTAACAGCTTCAGCGATACAAGTCAGTGATGAACAGCTTCTCTCGTGATCCTCGCTGGCACCAGTCGTCGATGACGACCTTGGGGCTCCGCCTGCGCACCGTGCAGGCGAACCATTGCACCAAGCCTCGAGTAACGGAAGGCAGGAGCCACTGCTAAGAAGCTCCGCGCCAAAAGATGTCGTACCTGAGCCTGAGATGCTCTGAGGATCCAGCTCGTGAGCTGCACGCTTAGGCGACGGGGGCACGCCCACCTAATGTTCTCTTCTAGAACGAAGCGCGAAGAATGCGAAGAACTTATGGAGGCCTCCTGCTCAACGGCCGTCAAAGCCTGTGGCAAGTCCATTAGATTGGTCAGTTCTGACACTCCGCGGCTCGTGATGGAAAGGCTGGCCTGAAACAACTTCGAGGGCATCGCAAGGCTCGTGCTCGCAAGCTTTTTCGCACTGTGGTTCGACCTTGGTAGACCATACTGAGCATGCCTGGCATGCCATGAGCCATGGGCCCATCTGAAGGCCTTTGCAGTTTTGCCAGGGGCACCCACACATCGCAGATCTCTGCAGGAGTGCTTGGAAACACCTGGCGCACACGGCAGTCAATGACCCCAATTCCTTGCCAGGAACTTGCTCCAGAATTGTTGCGCCGTGTTAAGCCGACTGGCAACGGAAAACGCGCGGTTTTGGCTCCGGGGCTTGGTAAACTCTCGGGCGAATTCGGCTTCTTGTCGGCGAGCCCGTTCTCGACCACATCTTCTCTCGCCGAAAGCAGCAGTCTCACTGATCACTAGTTACGGCGGTCGCCCAAGAGCTGCAGCAAGAACAAAAAGAGCTGAATGATGTCGACATAGATGTTAATCGCCTAACGAACGCAAGACTTGCCACGGAGATTGACACACCTTCTGTTGAGCCGGGCTGCTGCCATGCAATAGTCGTCAATGCTGAACCTGCGCCAGCAAACGGATGATCATAGCGGATGAGGTAGCTCAACGGGCCCTTGTTGGGCTTAGAAGCTTCAGGCAGCCCTACCAACAAAGTGTTGGACATGCTGCTATGAACCGGTCGGCCTGAACTTGTTGTGCTTCCCTCCCACAATCAGCTGGGTGTCGAAGATGATGTAAAACGAGAAGATCACTGCCCCAAGACCAGCGTAGATCATGTTCCTTGTGTACATTGAGGGCAGTCTGAGAGAGAGAAAGACGAGGGGGAGAGAGAGAGAGTTAGAGAGAACAAGCACAGCTCGGAATTCATCTGGCATGCCTACAAACTCGGATCTCACCGAGTCGCAACACCTTGAAGGCACCGGTGCCTCATGACATTGAAACGAGCGATTCACAGGCAACATGCTTCTAAATGTTTGGGGTCATCACACTTCCTACTTGGGCCAATGTTGGCTGACTGTATGAGGTCTCGAGCCAGTTTTAGAAATCCAGTCTTGGCCGTTGCTTCTCTGGACATTCGGGCTGAACATGGCTGACCTACGATTTCGCACATCCGGCAGATAAACCTGTCTTGCTCTCCAAGGCACTTAGCGCTCCGGTCCTAGATGCCCATAGTTTCGGGGTTCTAGTTTCGGATCGGCTGCCGGGGGTTTCGGATCAGAGGGGATAGTTTCGGCGCCCAGTTTCGGCACAGCGGGAGTCAGTTTCGGGGGGGACCATGTCCCGGAAACTCAGCAGCTCCGAAACTACCCCTCAAAACCCTGAAACTCACGACTTCCCTCCGGTCCAGGCGAAGATGGACATCACGAGGCCAAACAAGCAGAGGCTGCATACCAGGGCAAATAGGTAGGGCATGAAGCCGGTAAAGTCGTACCTGTCCAAGCCGATTGCAAGCCAAGACTGATCCTCCTCGAAACCGCATTGCGTCCTTCTGCCGTACATGCCACGAAGGGGCGTTGTCTGGAGGGCAAACAGAGAAAGAGCTAGCACCAGCGCAGCCTCGAGAGCAATGGCCGCAAACTTAACCGCATGGAAGTATGTTCCCTAGACACTTTGCCACACCGCGGGGCAGTAATACCCAGCGTCACGAGCACAGACTGGACCGTGTACTGGACACAGATGAAACCTGTGGCGATCTCAAAAATGCAAAAGCAATCCTGGATCGGGAGACAAGTTC